TATATATGGTAATTAATAAATAATCACACACTTCCTAAAGCAGACTAAGCAAAATAAAATGGTTGTGTTAAAACAGCATTAAAGAGTCCTACAGGTTGTTATATGTAGTTACTTATGGTTTAACACTTTGCAACGATGGTGATTCTTCGGTATATACAAATGTTGTCAGCTATATACATTGGATCGCCGATACAAGAAATATAAATATTTAATGAGCAGCGGAAATATATATTTATTATAGATATTATAAAATACGCGCCGATAAGAAAAACAAACTTTAGCTATTATCGGATTATTTTCGTTGCTTTTAACGATTAAAATATACTGTCAAACCTTAAAGTTGTAATGAAATGTGAATCGGTATCGGTAAAAAATACCAAGAATAAAAACACTGAAGTCTGCAGCTGACTAAACGGGTATCGAGTATGAAATATGGGCATCGAGTACAAGTGCAACTGCTGTCGGAGTTGGATGTATCTGCGTCGATGTGTTAATTTTTTGTTGGTGTTTTTGTCTTTAAAAGTGTTTTTGTTTCAACTATTTCGCATGAGAATAAGTGTGCCAAATTTATCAATAAATATTGAGGAAAATCAAACGCCCTGAATCAAATGAGCGGTGCTTTTTAAAGAATTGGAAAAATCGCAAACGCAATAGTCGGTGAAAAATAATGAATGATATGATTCAATGACGTCGCGAAACCAATCCGTAATTCGACAAAGCAAAAGAGAAAGAAGAGAAGGGAAAAGTCACAGTGAGCAGCCGACTGTGAACATTTATGCGGGCTGTGCTGCTGTTGACACAACGAATCAAATAAAAACTTAATATATACAAAAAGCCACAACGGATCACAACAAATATCCATAGATTAAATTGTATAAAATATGTGTTAGAAGCAGCAAAATTAAGAAAATCTTCAGATGGGTTCACGTATTAAGTAAGTATTGTGTGTCGCTCTCAGAGACTTACATCTGGAAAAAATAAAATGTGCAGTGGGCGTAACGCTTGGATGACCACTGAGCGCCGCCACCTCAGTGAAATTTGTTCATCATCTTATATACTATTATTGATATATACAAAATAATTATTGTCAATTTGGCAGAAGCGACGTAAAGAAACTCTTTGAGTTTTGGTGCGAAGTAAAGCCCACACGCGGCATCGATCGTGGCAGTGTTAATCGTGGAGGTGGAGGAGCAGCCGCAACGCCAGCTGGTGTCATTATTGAAAGCTTCCCAGAGGGCTTTCGCGATAAGGAGGTGCTTAACGGCATCCCATCGTTTGCGTTTCCCTGCGATCTCATAAGGTGCGTGTGTTACTGAAAATTGATAATACATTATTACGCATGCATGTTTCAACTGAGCTTGCATTAGTCATATTAGACAAGACCACAACAATAACAAATATAACAATGACCGTTGGTGTTCTGTTTGATATTTGCTGTCTGATTGGGTGAATGGTCACAGACAGCTCGCTTTTTGTAGAGCTACTTTTGGCGTAGAGGAAGTCAATGCGATTATTTTTATATAAGAATGTTTCATTAAAAGCAGATTAAGTTGTATTAGATGAATGAGTTTCGCAGTCATTCAATAGTTTTGATCAATTTCGAATATAGGCTAATCATATATACTTAGACATATCCATATAGGAAGGGAGCGATTAGATAAATGAATTGCTAGCAGATCTTCCGCTAGCCAAAATCTTACTGAAATCGAACCATAAAAACCCCAATTTGACCATAAAAAAGTGATGTCGGCTGCACTGGCTTGCTGGATGAGTCACTACAGCAACATCAGCAGCAGCGGCAGCGGCAGCGTCCACTTCAAGTTTGTCCATGAATTGTATAACCTGTTGTATAGTTTTTCTGTTGGTTTGTTTACTTACATATGCGCGCCAGTTTGTATAGCGTATTGGTGAATTATTTCATTCGGATGACGTTGAACGTAGTTCATTTTCGCACATTACGCTTGTTGTTTTTATAGCAAGTATTTCCTCACTATATCAGCTATATTGTATATACAGATATGTGTATGGGTATGCGTCAATTGTCTTTTTATTAGTCACGCTGAAAACATTTCTGGTTTTATATTTGCAGCTGTCTTAAGAATGGGCAACAAGTTGTCTTTACTGTTCGCCCAGCCTTCTGCTTACTATTATTATCGCACGGTAATATATACACACTGATAAACAACAATGATACAATTTGAGAAAGCGCACCAAATGCTAGACTAATGAATTTTTGTTTGCTGAAATGGCTTTAAAGTAAAATTAATAATAATTATAAACATTAGCACAAAGCAAAGATCTCCACAAAAAAAAAAAAAACAAAAAAAACAAAAAACAAAATGAAAACAAACAGAAAAACGGCACATCCATATGTATGTGCATACGCTAAACACAGTTAGGGCACGTACATACATATATTAAGCCAACAATAACAGCAAATACAGCCTCCAGCAGTCTCTTAATTCATTAAGTTTCGTTTTCTCTCCGGGTCACTCTCTCTGTCTCTCTTCGGCTGACTATCATTATTGTAATTAACAGTTATCGCCAAAGTCAATGCACCGACATGTACAGCTTGAGTGGAAGCGAGATAGATGCTAGCTTCGTTGTCATTTTTGCTGTTGCGATTTTGTCGCTTGCGCCTGTTTAGCATATTTTATTAAATAATGCTCGCATCTAACGACTTCACGTAATCCAACGCCTACAATAAAAACCAACAGCACGAATTCGCCTGTGAAATGCGAAAAAGCTGAAAAGAAAAATACTGGAGGCCAAGCTGCGTCGCATTGAAAGCGGAGCTTACTGCGAATAACTGTTGTCGTGCTTTTACTCACATACATTTACACACATATATATGTACTTATATTTATTTTATGTATGTATGTGTTGCAAGTTCATAATCGTCAATGCACACAAAATGTCACACAATGAGACAAAGGCAAAGGCAAAGAGCAACAAAAGGAAACGCCACTTAACACAATCCTATATTAATTCTAAATATTTACAAAGATGTTAAAGGCACGATTCTAATGCATATTAAATGTTTAATGTTTTTTTTTTTGCGCCTTTTAAATAGCTGTTATGCTTATAATTTGGGTTAAGAGGCAACGCTAAATAAGAAGTGCTCGCAGACACGATCCAGCCAGGCATTAGTCATTCGAAAACTCCACTGCTAGTGTACATATGTATGTACATACATATGTATAAGTGCGATGAAGCGTTTCTTGAGAAACGACGACTACTGTTGCTCGTTGCTGTCAAGGTCACTTGGGTTGATGGCATAGCCGAACGGATATGCCATAATAAGCATGTTATATGTAACGTATACAAGCCACGGCCAAATCTTATAATGTAGAAAATAAGTATGAATGTTTGAAGAAAACAGAGTGATCGACGGAGATGTGCCTATAACTGTATTTGCATATGGGCTTAATTATTTGCTCATTAAAATTCTTTTTATATATGTAACTATTCCATGTATATACACATCCAGCTCACTATCTATTTTAAATTTCTAATCATGATTATTTCACATTTATATAGGGGCTCTGTACAGTCCTATTCTTTTGTGCATACCACCGCCGATTCGAAATGGCGTTTTGGGTTTTGTCGACACGATCCGAAAACGGAAACAGCGATGGTGCTCATCACCTATCTGCCCTGGCATGATCCCTTCCTAAAGCTATTAACTGTGTTAGCGGATCTAAAACGCACCGATCTAAATGAGTTTCGAACCTTCCTATCGGAGGCATACAACAGAGGCGTTCCAGATGCGGGTGGAAATCTAACGGTGTTCTATAACAGCGGGCAAAGCGTGAGTATCTGAAACTGAACATATTTGTAATATTAATATAAAAAGTTCTACTTCATACATATATGTATTTCTTCCACAGCATTTTACATTTGAGCGGCCTTTGCCATTTCAACTGCCCAGCATACCAGAAAATGTAAGCATCAATTAATATTCATTTACAAAATATGTGAAAGTAATTTACTCCATCTTGTGTAGCACAATCTAAATCTCTATTACAACTTTGTGGATCCTAAGGAGATGATAAGTGTGTTTGCTGCTATGCTCGCGGAGCGTCGCATTATATTCACATCGAGTCATTTGGATAGGCTATCCTCGTGCATACAGGCGGCCAATGCATTCCTCTATCCCATGGTCTGGCAGCATATATTCATACCTGTGTTGCCCTGGGAGTTTAAGGATTACTTGGGTGCACCTATGCCATATTTAATTGGTGTGCCAAAGCCAGTACTCGAAACTGTAACTGATAAGAAAAATGTATTATTTCTTGCGTATAATAATCACTTGCTCTACTTCAGGTTTCTGCCGATGAGCTCGGAGAAGTTGTGATTTTAAACTGTGATACGAATCTGTTGGAGAGTCCTTTTGATGATGTCCGTGCACTGCCTGCAGAGATAGTGTCGCAGCTTAAGAAATATTTAAGCCATACTCAGGACCATATCGGGGATCGTGTTTCCAAAATCTTTCTCGGCGCTTTGGTACAGCTGATTGGCGGTTATCGGGATGCTGTTGAATTTCACGACACCTGTAAAACGTTCAATCGCGAAAAGTTCATTGAATCTCGACCCGCCCACCTGCGTCCGTTTCTCACCAAAATGATGGAGCTGCAAATCTTTGCCCAGTTCATTGATGATCGACTCAAAATGCTAAATAGCGGCTTGGGTTTTTCCGATGAATTCGAACGGGAAACAGTTCGATATGCTGAAAAGATGAAGAAACGCGGTCGCAATTATGTCTTTCTAAAGCATGTCAAGGACAAGGTAAGCTTCGCGGAAGACACGCAACCTCCTTGTGCTAACCCTAGCTCCATGGCTGTTAGCTCAGTTGCCTTAACCCCTACTCATCATAGTGCAATACGATTTACACATCCAACCATTTCCTACACTTAGTTGTGCGACATTCCTGGGTCCTATTGTTTTTAAAGTATTTATTTATTTATAATGTTTTGGTTTGGAAAGCATAATACATGGATTGAGCCCTCTGCGCTGTCCCGCTACAATTTCCCGCTCTAAATGTTGTTCCATAATTTTTAAGATTATTTTTTTGTTTTTCAATTTTTGTTCGTATATTCTGCTCAACAATATTATTTTAATTAATTTAATTTATTTCACAGTATTATTTGGGAAAGCGCAGTGTTTCGCGAGTCTTTACCAAGAGCAAATTTTAGACTGGTTGCCACCGCCCACCACCAAAATACGAATAGAATTTCCACAAACACAATAAAAAAATATATAAAAAACACAGACAAAACACCTTTTCCACAAAAACCAAGCAAATGTTAGTTCTATTGATTTACTATCCTCCCTATCTCTATTTCTCTTTTAACCAACAATTGCACTTAATCCTTGTTTTTTTTTTTTGGCAAAACTAAAATACTTTTTTATTGTGTAACAAGTTTTTGTAACATTTGTATTTGTTTTCATAAACTTTTGATATTTATATATTTGTTAAATTTTCTTCAAAAGCAAGAGCGGCTTAACAGAGATAATACATTTTAAATGTCTGCAGCAGTGCACCATAATTTTAAAACTGCTTAACAGAAGAAAATATGTTAAGTTGCTTTGCGGCTGCAATAACTGTTATCAACAGTAATCTAGATATTTATGTATAAAGCAAATATATTTTTAGTATAAAAGACCGCTCTATTTGAAAGCTTTGCCATTATAACGAGTCAATATATTTACGTATATCATTGGGTACGCACCTATTCCCAACAAAACTATCAAAAGCCAAAAGCTATATGCACACTTTACTAACCTTAAAAAAAAAGAATTAAATATCTTCGTTTAACCATAAATTGAAATCATGAAATTAGTAAAAATAACATTTTTTCAAGCCTCATTGCATTAAACTCGACCTTTTATCATCATTGCCATCTTAACAATTAGTATTTAATAGTAGTTAGATTGTAATTTATATTGCTATTCATATACATACATATATATATATTATATACAAATACTTTTATATATGYGTCATTTAATATTTGTGCGTTGTCTTTCATATATGCGGCTTGGAACTCACGTTTGTGCTTCTGTGCTTAATGCTCGTTCCGGGGTTTGATTGATCCTCTATATACTCATATATATGTATATCTAAATCAATTCTGTAATATCACCAAATGCGAATCACTTTTGCAGACTAATCCAGCTGTTAAGTCTGCTGTTAAATCGGTGAGTGGTAGCTTTATTAAAATCATGCGTAGGCTTCAGAAGCAGCAGAAGTTTTATGTTAATAAAACTCTCTTTACTTCAAGGTGAAGGAGAGCTCGCGTGGTGTTAAGACCGCATACAAGAAGTGGCGTGATAACGGCAGCGGCCACAATCATAATCCTAATCATCAATTCCATTTCGGTCTAAGCTCCCCTCAGCACTCGGATCGTCCGGACGGAAGTGTCAATAGCCTAAGTAGTTACGGACGCAAAGTCACGCATCATTCGGCGCCAAGTTCGCCAGTGTGCAGCAAACGCCTAGAGCGTGAGATAAATTTGAATGGCAGTGCAGCTCGCGAGCAGCAGCAGCAGCCAATGCTGCAGTTACCACAGCAGCAGCGACGCGCTCCTGTGCCGCTGGCTATGTCCAGTTCGAGCAGTCATATTCCTGCGAATGGTCATGCGCTGGGTGCGCCGAATAATGCTCATTTTGATCATCTTATTGGTGCGTCTCCTGCTGTTAGCTCGGCAAGCTCGATCTGTTCATCAGAGATGAATCTGTCGCAGGAGCTGCAGAATCATCCGCTGTTCAAAACGCCCGCCGTTGACCGAAGCGTAAGTAGTCTAGTGCGTGAATACGAGAGACGGCTGCAGCTGCTATAGCGTCGATGTGTCGCTTAACGCTTTATTGTTCTATCTCTCATTATTCTCGTTGAAGTTGCTGTTATCTCACCAATAAGTTATTTATGTTCATTCTTTTCATTGCCTTTTTCATGTGTTTGTTGTGTTGTGATGTGTTGTCTTGTGTTGTCTCGTCTCGTCTGTCTGTCTGTTTATTATCGCCTGTCTGCCTCATCTTGAAACTTGCACCAAACACCAATACTTCACAAACTTGCAATGCCATCGCAAAACGCCAAACGCCAACTTCGACACGCAGCTAAAGCCCAACGCTGAGCAACAACACAGCACGCGTTTACGTAATGGTGCCCCGCCGGCACGCCCACCGCCACCAGCGCTGCCAGCATCACAGCCTGCCTCCTACTACAATCATCCATATGCGGCGAATTCGAGCATCAGCAATGGAAGCAACAGCAACAGCAAGAGCAAGAGCAGCATCAGCAACCCATATCCAATCAGCAACTTGAAGCCTCCTCGGCACACTTCAACGCCCACTAAAGCACGTGCGCTGGCCAGCACAGACTCGAGCTTCGATAATCCACCAGATGTGCAGTCGCCGCCTATACCACCGCGACGTCAATGCAGTGCCCATGCTGTGGTGGCAGCCACAGCGGCTGCTGTTAGCGCTGGCATCAATCGTCTGGAGCGCAATTGCTGGCAGGATGAGCAAAATAATTCGGTGCGCAGCTCGAACACCTCGTCAGCTTCGGCATCGTCTAGTTCTTCCTGCGCCTCCTTTGTGACGGCTGCTTCACGATTTTCGCAGCTAAATGTATCATCGCCCCAGAGTTCTGATTCAGCGCCCATACCAACACCGCGTTCCAAGAGAGAGGTACAACACACAGCTGCGCGTATACTTAAAGCTAAGAAACGTCCTGGTTGTGGTATTACACCCCCCTCACATCTCATACTAACACATCCAGCTGACCCCAAACTTTCTTAACCAAGTCCAAGATAATGGACAGGCCCTTCCCTAGCTTTGCGACTAATCTGCTTGCATTGTAGTAGACTAATCCACGTAGCTTGGCCCGCTTTTAGAAGTTTATCCTAACTAATCTATATCCATAAACATTGTGTTCCTCGCCCTCACAGTCACCCCGCAGCAGTAACAGCAGCAACAACGCTCAACCACACCCCCAGGATAGCATGAATGATCTGATATCGCTGGACGATAGCAACAACACTAGCTTCGATCTAGAGGATTTCGATCCGCTGAATCAGAATGCGCGCCCGTTGCCGCCGCTGGGCAAGACTTTTGGCAGCAACCACAAGTCCAAGTCCAGCACCTTGCCCGCGGGTGTCAACAGCAGCGTACTCAACAATGTCGTGGGCGGCAATAGCGTTAATAATCCATTATATCCCTATTTTGCGCCCAAACACATGGCCACAGTTGCGGCTGTTACGAACCGAGTGGTGAACCCACTTCCAGCACAGATTCAACGCAGCGGCAACAATACTGCCAAGCCGCCGGATGATGATTTCGAGCTGTTGCGCAAATACGGATTGGATCAGTTTTCTTTAAATACAACTGAAACAACAACTGCTGCAGGTGCCAATACCAAATCAGCTTTAACAGCAGGTGTAGGCGCTGGCGCTGGCAAGGGCATGAACAACTGGACGACCTTTGATTAGAGTGAAGGCGACGTTAACTGGAAAAGATACCAAAATAAGTGTGATTAGGATTATGATTCGTATTGTATTATAAATATATACATATACATAGCTAGGCCTAGGCGATATATGATATACCAGACAAAAGAAACCTTAAATAATATTATGCTAGACACGTAGAATGAGAACAACAAAATATTTACCTATAGCGGCTTATTAGAAAACCAAAACAAATTTATGAGCAACTGTTTCAAAAGAGATAAAAACAAATTACAAATATATTTGACTTCCAAATCAAAAAGACACACAAAGCATTAGCATAGTGAGAATTTAATCCAATTAGCTTTAAAAATCGGTTAAATATTCTATTTAAAATATACATGTATATACATATTTAAACAAAATTTAATCAACTGTATTGTCAATTGTATTGCAATTAAGACTTGGATTTGTGCTCGGCCATGCAGCCTTCGATGCGTTGCTGCAGCGCCTTGGCTCCCTTCATATTCACTTCCTCGTAGTCGGGCAGCAGCTGTTGCATGCGTTGAAGCCAGTCACCAATTTTAGGGTAACGCTGACGATCCACAGGCAGCAGCAGATCCAGTGTAATCAACGTGGTGTGTATTGATATATCTGCCACGCTTAATTCGTTGCCCACTACGAAGCTGCCCTGTTTCAGGAAGTGCTCCAATGTATCATACGCATTTTGGCAAAGCTCCAGACTGCGCTTATTGTACTCCGCCTCACCGCCATAAATGTTGCGCGCCACAATATCCTTGATCACCTGGAAGAGTACGCCGTTTTCGTAGTGCAAACGATGATCTATGTGCGCGCGACGCTTAAGATCCTTGGCATAGAGCTGATCGGTCTTGCCATATTTGGAAACCATAAAGCAGATGATCGCGTGGCTACAAATAATACATAATATACAGTTTTGAAATAGGTATATATGTATACATACCTGTCCACATACACTTCGCCATCTGTGTCCACGAAAACAGGTATCTGATGTTGTGGATTGAGCTGTAAAAAATGTATTATAGTTATTTATAGAACAAAAACAGAAATAAAATTTAAATGTTAATATTACATTACAAAACCGTTTGTTTGGTCAAAACAAAACCTGAACTGAGCGGAATGGACAATAGACAAATCATATTTTATTACTCTTATTTTCTTATCATTTTTTCACTGACAACTTCGGTAAATTAAATAATAATGCCCTTAGGTATGCTCCAAGCTTTTAAATTTCGGTTGTAACAGTGGATAATTATTATACAAATTATCTGAGTTCTGAATTTCGAATATATAAAAAGTAGTACGGTCTTTCTATTTCACAATTATATAGTAACTAGAAAGATGTATATAGGTAGCCTTTACTACGACATTTTAAGCTTGCGGAAACAATATCATTTAATAAAATACCCTGTATGTGGTGAAGCCTTTTGAATTTAATAAACATTTCGGCTAGTAATTTTTAAGCGGGATTCAATGCAAGGTTGGGTACGAGAGGAAAACAAAGTCCATTTTGCGAGAGCTCATATACTAGCATATACAACATATTGAATACGTACTTTTAGAAACTCATCGCTTAAATGTTCCTTCTTTGAAAAATCAACGGCTCTGTGGACAATAGAGATGTCAAATGGAAGGTAAAGGACATATGGCTTATATCGCACTCACTTAAGTTCAACATCTAAACCAATTAGTTTAGCAGTCAGAATGCAGGCCCTAGCTGGAGGACTGAAGAGTGCGTAATATAGAACAGGCTTTGTGGACATATTTAAATGAAAACACACAAATTAGTTGAATAATGCGAGCAAATGATGCACCAGGTAAACAGATACACAAAATAACATATGTTTTAAGCAGTGCTGCAAAGGACAAGATTACGCTGTCGCGCTGCCAACTGGTTGCACATTGAAATTCCAATGAGTGGCAGCGCTTGCAGATCAGCTGTTAGCCGACTCTTCTTTTAACGGAAAAACGGTTGGTTCATTTGAACTTCAGAATTGCAATACATGCGAATATGCATCTAACTTTATTGGTTTTATTTTTCAAATACTAAATTACTTAGCGAAAGTCAAGTTTTCGGGACCAAAAATATTTATGAATGTGTCTGTGGGTGTATCATTGAAGTTGATTGATTGTGTAAAATTCTTTGGAGCTTTATCGCCTCTATTTTTTTTTCTAATACGATCTCAGGGCGAGTCTAAAAGTTCAATAACCGAAGTTTCTTTCTTTTCCAGATTGGTTTCATCCTCATCTGCAAAATAGAAAACAGTTTTCGTATATAAAGCAATTAAAAATGTGTAAAACAAGAAAACACTCAAATTGTGAAAGTTGAAAACTAATATTTAAAGGATAATCAAACGTGATAACATTAAATAATTAAAATTATCAGGACTAGAAGTAAATAAAACACATTGATTGTTTGAAAATATTATTTTGCTTTAATTTGCTGATTATATTGGCTTATACATTATGTACTTATATTCCCCCACATGCAATTCGAAGATGTTTTTCATTGTTTTAAACAAAAATCTTTAGTATGTCTTTCTTTTTATTTAATTTAATTGGTTTGTTTTGGTTATAAAAATGTTTGAAATTTCGATCAACTTTAATTTGGTCATTCACTGAGATATATGTATATGTATATATCAATTTTTACATGTGTGTGTGTGTGTGTGTGTGTGGGTCTGTGCAGTTCGGAATGGCTATATATATATTTATATGTATATATACATATAATCTATATATATATAACATATAAATTTAGGTATCTATGGTCCTATTTATCACCTTTYAATGGGCTTGAAATAGTAATCCAGTGGGCCTAGATAAATAATTACAAAGATGAAGCGATTTAATTCTTCGATAGATTTAGCTTTATTTATTATTGAGTGGAATTAATATTCTTCTTTTGCCAGTTGTTGATTGAATTACTTCTTTTTCTTGAATCATTTGCAAAAATAAAAAAGATGACATATAAATACATACAAATACGTAATTTTAAAGATAAACGAATGTGAATTAAAAAAAAAACAAACTCAAAATAAACATAACTTACTTAGTTTCAAAGATGAACGAAATATAACTTAAAATCGATGCGATTCTGTTGCCAATTTATTTTGCATTATATATCTATATATGAATTAGGAATTATTGTGTAAAAAGACTTAAATATTAACATTTGATTTATGTTTAGTATTACGCTATTGTTTAATGCATAGGTCTATTTGTTTCGATTTTTTGTATATAAGTTCCGTGTGTGTGTGTGTTTAAATAATATATATATTACGAACAACCCAATAAATTATATAATTAATTATTTGTTGTATGTGTCTGTGTGTTTGGGCGTGTGTAATAATCGAGGCAAGCACACACAAGATAAATTAAATGACAAATAAAAATAAACTAAAAGAATTAACTAAATTTATATTAAGTGTAGAGGCCTGATTCAAATTGAATACGAAGGAGCGTAGTTCAATATTTAAATAACAGAATTACAGATAGAATAAAATGAAGTTTAAGAATGAAGTAGGAACGAAGAGCAACAACTGTGTAGCATCAGCAGCATGTGTGAAAAGGGGTAAGGTGTTGGGGAGGGAGGGTGTGGCAAACAACAGACCAACTGCAACAGCAATAGCTACGTCTAACTGCGCCCTGCAACACACAAAAAGTTTTCGGTTGCAATTATTTATTTGAAACAGCCTATAAGATTAAATTATGATAAAACAAACGCTAAAGAACAAACAGGGAAACACTCTGAGCCTGTTTACATAAGCGAGAAATTAAAAGATAGATACAATTAGAATAATTTTATTGTAAATTTCACAACTAATTTGGCGTCTAATTAAATTTCGAAATACTCGAAAATTGAACTCGTCGAGCTAGGAAATTCATTAAATAGAATATTACTTGGTTTTTAATTGATGTCATGAAAATGTACATGAAGAGCCATGAAAATGTTTAGTAAATAGCCTCTGAATAGTGAGATATGTATATATTTATATATATATATAACTGATTATGTGTGGGTGTGTGTCTGCTTATGATTAAATGCGAGCAAATAAAGAGAAAGAGGGAAACAAATTAAAAGCAAACCCAACGAAAACAAAACAAAACCAAAACCATAAAATTTGTGTTGGCATGTGTGTGTATAAAATTGTTTACAATTCTTGTGAGTGTGTGTGTCTGTGTGCCTGTCTATGTATTATTGTGGGTGTCTATGGAGCTCCGTTTGGATTCTGCGCTGAGGCAGACGCTGTGGCAGCAGCAGCGGCTGCCACTGCAGCCAGATCCAAGAGTTGAAAATGCTTTTGATCCGCAACTGCTGCGGCGAGAGACTCCAATAGACTCGCATGCATTGCAGCTGCCGGTTGGTCCCCAACTAGCAGTTGCTGTTGTTGTTGTTGCTGTAGCGTTTCAGGCGATGGCATTGCTTGCTGCTCGGGGGAATCTTTCGTGGAGTCGATGGTCGAATTATAATGCAGAGAATAGAAAGAAGAAAGAGAGAATAGAACATACATATATATAAGCATATATATATAAAGAAGGTAAGTGTGTAAGAGAAAAGAGGAGCGGAGACAGAGATAGTGAGAGAATTGCACTATAAAAACTATATATGTATGTAAATATATGTACGTAGCTATATATATATATATTTATGGATTTGGGGCGGAAACTAAAACACATTTCATTCAAAGCGATCGAGAATTAGCTAAAACAAAACTCATTTAATTATATTTTCAAAAGGGAGTACATTGTGTATTGCTGACAATAAATAAATAAATACAACTTCAAAATAAATTGAAACAATTTTGAAAATAACAAAATAACACGAAGAAAATTCTTGTACAGTTTACAATAGAAAASTTTTTAAATAAATAAATTTAAAATATTGCATTTTTTGAGTAAATAGAGTGCAAACTCTAGACTTTATGTAGTGTAGCTGTTGTGCATCCTTGAAAGGACCGCACGGCCTTCATTTGTTAACACCTTTGCTGCAAGTAATATATATGCACATAGATCAATTGAAATTCTATGTTGGGCTAACAGAACATACCGCATTTTACGACCTAAGAGTAGATTAACACGCACATAAATTGGCGCACGATTTGCCTTTCTATTAAAAATATCTATAAGAAAATCATATATATATTTATAAAAACGCCGTAAAAAAAAATTATTGAATTCCTATTACACAAAAGATCAATGGGAATAGAGGTGCTGAATCCTATGAGAGGAGGATGCTCCTGATAGATTTTGAACCCAACAGAAATAAGATCAATAGCTTTCATACTCAACACAATAAACTATTTATCTCGTGATTAAACCCAACTGTAAATCGAGCTAACAGCCACACAAAATGTCAAGTTATTCTTTTTCTTTTTTTAACGGAATGTGCGTAAACGTAACTCGAAAGCAGGTGAAAAAGCAATGGGGCAGAGTTTGAGTTAAAAAGCCGGGGCTGGAAAGGAGTGAGTGTGTGTGCGTGTCTGTGTGTTTGTATGTAAATGAATATTGCCTTATGTATAGATATTACCCTAGCCTTTTATAAATAATAATATTTAACTAAATCTGTTAATTTTTTTTTTAGCTACACATATAGTTGGTCAACAAATGGATAGCTGCCTGTTGCTTTGCTTCTAATTACAAAAATGGATCCAACGTACCAGTTTTTTGTGGCTGCTGCGACGAGGCGTAGGCACGTTGAACTGCACCCGTTCCGTTCGATGTGGACGTGGCAATCGCTTGTTTAGCTGGGGGTCGCCGCTTGGCCAGCGGCATATCATCATCCGAATCACTTAAGGTTAGATCCACCTGCAGAATATGACATTAGTGCTAAGCACTTGGTTGTTGGTTAAACAAACTTACGGTTTCACTATTTGACGTGGACGTGGGCTGCTCCTCGGGCATTGGAGACAAATCAGACTTCATCGGCTTGGTGTCGTCAATCAGTTCTATGCAAAAAACAATGTTATACAACATTAAATTTAATTTTTTCTACATCTAAATATTTAATTATTTAGGTTTTTATCTAAATAGATATCTAATAGCTAAGAATGCATGTAGTCTACTAACCAACATCATCCGATATGACCTCCACTTTAGAAACTGGCTTTGATGGCGTATCTAGTATTTGAGTCTCGCTACGTAAGCCTGGTGTACTCCACGAGCCATCCTGATGCAACTGAATCTCGGTATCATCGCTCTTTAGCAACGAGGATCCTAATACCTCTTGGAAATAGCTATTTGAATAGAAAATTGATTTAGTATTAGTATTACCAGTATTTTTGGGGAATGACATGATCGTACCCATCAATTACTAAATTATCATAGATGGCTGGTCTATCGCACACAGGACAATTCCAGGTGGGCTTTCTTTCGTTCATTTGCAGGTAGAGGCTGGCGTCAAAGCACTGCAAGTGCGAACAGGTTGATGCGCGACACGGCAGCGACATTTTCATTTTACCCAGCGGGCAATTAAGCGACACCTTCAGCATAGTTGTGGCTATCTCGCAGTCCGCATCCTCTGTAAGCTTCTCCTTAACTGTACAAAATCATAATTAATAAATGTATTGGCAAAGTCAATATATTTGTAGCTTACTCAGAGCACGCGTGTAATCTGCAGGCTTGACGCCCTTTGTCTTCATACGATGTAAGAGCTGTGCGGATGTCAGCTTCTTTACCAAATAGACAGCCAAACAGTAGCTACGCGTGTAGTCTGGGCACCACTGTACCATAATTGTATTTGTTACTGTCGGCGACAATTTTACATTTGAGGTCACATTCACTGGCCGTGGTGGACGTTTTGGTTCCACGTTTGGGCGGTTTGTAGGAATGACATTCTATAGTTATAAGAAGCATTGAAGCAATTAATACTTAAGAAGTGAAAGTTTTTCGATTCCAGATAACGCCAATGTTCTGAAAGCTCATCGGATAAGTGAAAAACTATTTGTCATTTATACAAGTGTAGTATGTCATCTTATTTGATAAGTCCGTCTAGCTATGTCCATGATATACATAAAATAATAAACACATGAGAACTTACAGGCAGCTGACATAATTTGTTGTTCACTTTGACATTGACGTTTGGTGGAAAACAATCCTCCTGGTCGCAAGAGGTCTCCACGAGACAGAAGCGCAGCTGCACCTGTATGGCGTGCTCCACTTTTGAACTATTGCGGACATCTCGATTTGTGGCTATCTCTGTGGCCTGCTGGGGCGTCAGTGTGAAATAGAAAGGCACCTCTTGCACACGCTGTGTATTGCGCGGCACCAGGGTTGATGGCTTGATTAGTGTGCCGAGGACATCATAGAATGCCAGCTTTTTCAGACGCACATCTGGGTGTATGGGCATCTGGCTGTTCATACCGTGCGTGTGAAGGAAGGGTAGCATATTGGCGGGTGCACCGCCAGCGCCGACTGGCATCTGGGCGGGATTACCGGTGCCCACCTGCGGCACCTGTGTCGGTGCACCACCAACGAGACTCGCATTATTTGGCTGCACAGCCGGCAGCTGCATGTGCGAGTACATTCTAGTTGGATCTATGTACTGCAGCGTGGGTGTTTGTTCTTGCACGGATTGAGCGTAGACTTCTTGTACCTTGGGTGCGAGCAGCTCCAAGTTAGTGCGCAGGAACGATAGGATGCGACCTTGCAGATCGGTTTTTCGTCCAGCGAAGGAAATGTTTAGAAACGATAAAATCTTTTGCAGCTCTACAACGCGTAGCATCTGCACCATTTGCTCACATTCCTAAATAAAAAAACGCAGAGTAGAAAAACGCTGATTAAAATAACAGTAACAGTCGAAAAGGCACGACGACGCCGAATACAGCGCCACAGACACAAATACACACAGCCAGCCATAGCAAAAGTGTATGTGTTATCCGTGTGTATGTGCCTTTACTAAAATGTACATAAAACACATATCCCATGCGGATTTCTTTATAGCCGTTAAAAATATATGCTTTTGTCAATCACAAACAATGTTTCAATCACAACTAAACACCGGTAGATTAATGATTAAGCGTTTGCAAAAAAAAAGAGATACACCGACCGCACAGTGGACACAAAAAAATCGCATGTCACAAATTGTACATTACCTTGAACGACACGGGCAAATATAACGTTCGTGGGCTTAGCCATCCTTCAGTCAAACACAATTACCGATTTTATATTACTAGTTTATTGCTTAGTAACTAATGTAAACATATACTGATATTCAACACATTTGTTATTTTTAATTCCCCCGCATTTATCTTTTTAATCGCACAAATTTGTTTTGTCGGAGGAAATATGGCGGATGACAGTGTTGTAAAGCATTCGTTTTTTGTCTAGCAGCAAGCGTTTGCGTATGTTGCACTAGGGGGCGCTGAAAATGAGGCTTGCCCTGCGGTCACATTGTTTTTACTTATCAATTGTTTTTTTTTTCTTACGAAAATGCATTGTTTTTATTTATTATTAGCTTCACTAAATGAAACACGATATGACAAAATTACCTTGAATTTAGCCGCATCAAATGTGTTTACTGCAGTTGGCGTTGATTGCTGCGATGTAGTAGAAGCGGCATTTTCCGCCTGAGTTTGCGAGCGGGTCTTTCGCATCACAATTGTTTGCTAACGTTATTGTATATTCAGCACAAAATATGTGATTTTACTGGCGTTCGACTGGAGTTCGCAATACACTTGAATAGAAACACTTTCTCAACATGTTAAAATAAAACAAATGACAAAAAGTTTCCGTAGCGTTAGCGTCTGACTTTTATTAAAGATCAGTGTGACCGTTTGATACAAGCGCAAAAATAACAAAACAAATATTAGAGAAGTTGACGTTAAACAGGGGAGGCAATGACGCTTACGTTTTTGCTCGATAGTTAAGGAATCGAAGCAAATCAGGAACTAATTCAAATTTGGAGCTGACGGTACTATATTTGACTGATCCATCTGGCAGCCTTATATTTTTTGGGCGAGATGCCAGATCGCTTATTAGCATACCGCCTTCGAAACTTCAGTTCAAGCTGATTTTTACCATAAATGTTGGATAAAAAAATTATCATCTCCGATGAGTCTAAGGTCTTATTGAATGGGACGGTAAACAAGGGAATATTACCATTTTTACGCCACTGAAAATCCTCATGAAATTCAAGAGGTACCTCTTTACCTCTATTTAAAAAAGATTATTGGTCCGTTTTTCTTTCGCGCAAGCTTGATTTTTCGTTTTTAAATTATTTAGTTATTGGAGTTATTCTTTGGTTTTCTCTCATTTATTTTCTCATGCACTTCAAATTGTATTTGAACTATTTAAATATACGTTATTGTGTTTTTAATTTATAAATATTTTTGTGTGTTTCAACGTTTTATATAAATATTCTTAAATTGTGCTTAAATTTGACTTAAGTGTACGATTTAAGAAATACTCTGCTTGTTGTTTGGTGACCTCAAATTTGAGAACAATAATTAGTAAAATTTTATAGCACTACGCTCTGTAAAATTTGAATATATCATTCGAGTTTAAGCTATTTTCACTGATTGTTAGTAAGTTACATTTATTTTTATTTTTTTGCTGTATTATCATATATAAAAAATTGTTTAAAAAATGTTTCTTCTAACTGTATGTGCGTGAGAGAACTTCGGTGAGCCTTATAATTTATAATAAGAATTTCTTTTAGTTGTGCAACAATTAAAATGCTTAATACAAATTGCAATGAAAATTGTGATTGAATATATTTTGTTTTCGGGTTTCTTTCATATTTTGTTTTTGGTGTGTGCCAACAATTGTTTCATATTTTCACTTTTTTTTGTTATTTTGCAAAATGTTCAATTATAAATTATAAGTACAATACGTAAAATACATTTATTTAATATATTTAGCGATATCACCACGATTTGTTGTTATTGTGCTCTTAAAAATCATGTAACAGAAAAGTTTTTATATTCTTAAATTAATCATACCTATACATATATGTATGTATGTATGTGTGTATATATAGTATATATATTTAATTACTTTATGCTTAATATGGTAAATGCAGTAAAAATACGCTTGCGTCTAAAAAATACACTTCCCGTTCAATCTTCTGTTCGGTTCATTATTTTCTGTTCTGTTTTTGTTTTATGTTTCAGGTCTATGTGAAACTAATTATATATTCAAGTCTAAGATCTGTATCGTTGCTCTAAGGTGGAATCTACAAATCGGTTTTGGTTGTAATTCAATATTTGTTTGCTTTTGTGTTTTTTGTTTGTTTTTTTTTTTTTTTTTTTTTTTTTGCTGTAATAGGCAACTAGCGGTGCTTGGACAGCGAGGGTTAATTACTCGTATAAATGCAAAAGTGTGCCTGCTCCTAAGTCCTTACAAGGTGCAGTATTCCGTTAGGATGGGTATGGATTTGAGTAACTCGTTAATGTTGTGCTGCTCAAGATGTGCGACCAGTTTCTCTGCTGTCTTTAGCAGATTAATACAGTTCTCAAGGTTCTCAACAATCTCCTTGGTCATGCTATCCGACGACTTGGCTATCAGCTCGGCTAGCTTGGCGCCCACATTGCATTTGATCAGCTCGTCTTGCAAACGTTGAGCCTGCTCCGCTTCTCTGCCTGGCTGCGACAAGTATACCACCGAGAGTATACAGAGTGCAATCAATGCTTCGTTCTGCATGACTAGATGCTGTGCTGTTAACATGTTGACCATGGCTTCCACGGTGCCCTCATTGCTAAGAAATTCATTCAGACTGCTACGATCGTAGTCCTGCGCTAAGGGTATCTTATCGGCAATCTGTTCGGCTGGCGCGTCACCTTTGCGTGGCAGCGCATAGGCAATTTTGCTGAGATACGCATGCTTAATCAGCCAGGCCATCAGACGCAACGATTCACCAGTAACGCCCGCATAATCGGACGATTTGCTCCAATGCACGAGCTGTTCAATCAGAGTCTTGTTTTTCAGCAGCTCCAATGCCAGTTTCTCTGCAAAATAATAAAATATGAGAGCTGTTGTGGCTTATTCAACATGTTATGTTTAGACTTACCCTGACCATCTACGGTCATGCGCAACGTGCCGAGCAGCTTGAATACCACCGGTGGCTGATGGATTTCCAGCATGGGCAATATGGTCTGCACCAGACCCGCCTGAATAACCGCATTCTTATTTGGCTTCGGTATGACCAGATTGCGTAGAGCACTTAGCAACGCATGCTGCAGGCGCACATCGTCCTTTACGCCATTATTCTTGGCCAGCACCTGGAGCAGTTTATTCATCGTTTGCTGTTCTACAAAGTAAATACAATGGCTATCAGTGCGCGCAAAGTTGCCCAGAGCCAGTACACCGGTGGTTAGCAAATCAATGTCCGTGGAGTCCAGCCAATCGACCATGTTCTTAAGCAGCGACGTCGTATACAAGTAATGCATTGATTCATCTGAAAAGATTCAGGATTTGCAATTAGATTAAGTATCAGCAATTAAACAAAAGGCACTTACCGCCCGTTAGAATGAGCACAATTAGTTCGCAAGCCAGTTTCATTAGCGCACGCGCCTCGCTGGTGCTGGCCAGCGTTTTATATTTCTCCAGCAAATTGTAGATTGTCTCGCAAAGGCCATCCTTGGCCAGCAGCAGCTTGACTTCATCGCTTTCCGCTTGGTAGTGCAACAGCTCCAGGCACATCTCGGCCAGATCGGGATTGGTGGAAGCAGCTAAGATGCGTGACAATTTTATGTTCAAGTGTGAATCAAAGTTAAGATCGGCCACATTTTCGGTAAGTATGCTCAGCAGGGGCAGCGTATTGAGCAGCAAGTCCTCGTGCTGTTCCACATTGCTGGCGCCTGTGTCGACAATGCGTTGCAGTTGCTGCATAATGCCTAGTTCCATGGCGCGCTTGGCCAAACCCTCGCCACCCAGCAGATAATTGGAGAGCAGGCCGCCCCTAACTTTGATGAACTGCGGCGCATTCACCGTATCCTCAATTTCCGCGATGTCCAATAGCCGCAACAGCACCGCATCGCCCTCCAGCTCCAATATCAGATCCCGTGCTTCATCATTCAAGTAGCAAATGTTGCCCAGTGCTCGGCATATTTGTATAGGCAGCTCCATGCTCCCATCGGCTGCTGGGACATGACGCAGGCATTCGAGGAAGGCGGAGATGATATCGCGTTTGGTAAACTTTTTGCGTTGCACCTCCGATTTAGTTATCTCGGCTATGCATTTCGCCGCCTCCTTACGCACATTCGTGTCCTCGCATTGTGTCAGACGAAGAAAGCACTCGGCCAGCTCATGTTTGTCAAACAATTTGGGATCCTTTGTGGAAGAGATTTCGCAGAGAAGTGTCGTCGTTGTGTTGTCCAGGCTAACGCTTGTCGTCTTCAGCTGCTCAATGAGCTCGTCCATTTCGGCTAAAGTAGAAGAAAAGAGAAAATAATTTTATTAAATTCAACTAAATATGCAGTAAATATTCAGAGTTCTCTTTTATCTATCTTCATTTATGTATGTGATTGTGTGGGGAGTAGGGTGTGTGCGTGGGCGAGACAATTAAGGCAAATTGTGGCATATCCTTTCCATCATTTGGCGTATCAAATTTATTGCTAACAATTTCAGTTATTCGCCATAGAACCCGCAGAGCCCGCAGAAAAGAAAAGTAACTAATGCAATACCATTTATTTGCGAATTGTCAGTCCGCCGGAAATGCTTTAAGCGTGTTTCCCATTAAATGCTCATTTTCTTTCCAGATAGAGAGAGCGCGAGAGAGGGAGAAAGATTGAGAGCTTGAGAATTGCTTTAGGCAACAGACAAACAGTCAATTTGCATAAATTCTCCAGCAGCACAGCTGGCAAACGAAAACAATGCCAACAAAAAAGGGAGAAACTGAACTGATAAATAGCATAGCGAATATAAAATGCTCTGCAAATAATCGCAAAGGAGGGTAACAGTCAGTCATACAATAATTTTATACATTTACATTTATTCAGGAGAATTGCAGAGGAGGACTATAATAATATACAATAATTTTAGGTATACAGTCACAGAGGTGCAAGAGATGTAAATATAAAACGAATGCTAATTTATTATTATTATTAATTCATAAGAATCACAGAAGAGAACAACTCCCAATTAATTTTATTTTGATTAAAAATAATGTAACGTATGCGTAATTTAACACATTTTTCGCCTTCAATCATACAAATCTTATCATTAAATATTAATTACTTTATTTATTTAAGTAAATGTGATGTTGAAATGTAGTCGGAAAATTAAGCTCTCATGCTTCGGTTGACTTGAAGTGCCTTTGGTACACATTTCTAATGTTTGCTCTGTAGCTTTCAGTGTCATTTCCCGGTTTTTCCAGCTCATAAACCTCAGCATCTACACATTGACTTGACAGAAAGTAAATCCCCTTCAAGGAATTAACAGCAGTGCCCCATTGAGGGAGCACTAAAGCACATGCTGCTCTCAACAAGTGATTATCCCTTGGTCCAAGCTAGAGCAGTGCACACAGAGGAAAAACAAAAAATAAAAGAAGAAAAACAAATAAACACATGGCTGAAAACCCCGCCTAATGCTATTCTGATAAGCTTTTTTCCATCCCAGCTAAGCGAAGCGAAGGGCAAGGGTCACGCTGCGAGCCGAACCGTAGTCAAGCTGAAAATGTTCTAACAACAACAACATCAACTACATAAAAATGGGCGACAACAACCTCTGCTTGCAGTGGCAGCACTCCGAAAGGGCATTCAGCGAGCTTTGTGGAGCATAAATAATGAATAAAAAAGTTGGATAAAACAGTCAATGTGGAGGCAGGACAGACGTGCCGGGCAAGCATGCCCAGCAGATATCCTGTAATCAGAATGCAGTCATTACCATATTTATTATAGAAATATATTTATATATAAAAGACATATATATTTATATACATAGATATAAAATATTTAATGCTCATATGACAGAGAGCCTATCCTAAAATCTAAAGATAGAATTAAGAGTTTGGTTAACGAGTATACATATATTCTATAAACAAAACTTTATTATGCTTTTATGTATATAATTTTAAGTATTTTATTTAATGCAGATAAATTATTTGGATTGTAGATCGTAATCTTATCTTTATATTCTACGTCTTCGCATACAAAGTGTCATTCTGAATATTAAGTTTCTCAGTTATCTGGAAAAACTTTTGGCTATTGTATTTTGACTGCGAATTGCATGCACTAATATTTCTATTCCATAAAATAAAATATCTATTTGGTATACTTGGTATACCTAGTTTGTAGTGCTTAAAGTTACCAAATTAATTGAGCATAGGGAATGCTCTTGACTATAAATGTTTGCGTTGTTGCCACCTTCTGTGGCAGTTACATGCAATACGCCCGGCTAGTGATCCATTTCGGCTGGCATACAGAACAGAGCACGCTTCAAGTGCTGCACAAGCATGTGGCATAGAAATTGTGGCGACTGTTGTTTTTGGGGGCGGGGTGGCTGGGGGCCGTTGTTTGCCACACACATAGAAAAATGTGTTAGCCTTTATATGCAGCCCAATAAACTGAATGCGGAGCATTGAGAGAAATTGTTGCATTGCAATTGCAACTGCAATTGCATTTGGACAGTTGCCACCGTTTCGAGTGACAGACGTGATGCAAGCAGGTGCAGCAGGCAGCACTTCCGCCTGGCTGGAAGCCCTGCCCCCGACTCTGACTTCGCTTGACTGCTTTTATGTGACTAAAAGATTGTGTTGTTGTTGCCGTTCGTCTGGCTCCTTTTGCGTGCCTTGATGTAGCTGTGACTGGTACCCGTTGGCATTCACTATTCACGACTATTCACTGTTCAGTTATTCAGAGCACGCCTCCAAGTTCGTTAGCTTCTCTGCCCTGGGCGGAACAATTGTGGGGCAATTGCTTTGGAGCTATCTCCCATTATCTGTTTTTTTTTTTTTCTGGGCCTGTTTACCTTGCATTTTCGTGCCAATCGAAACAAAAAACTGGGTTAGACGTAACACAGGACAATAAATTGGGCAACCATAGAAACCGCATCATTAAATTATAATCGATTACCATTTGTCACTTCTTTTTCTTTTCTATTAGCTAACTCATGAGTTCTCTCTGCTCAATATTTAATGCCATCAACACACAGCTGCGACCTTACAAAATAAACTTTTATATTAATTATTCAATAGGTAACACGTTTTTGGCGTAATGAGATGAGAGACAGGTGTGTACGCATAATAGAAAAATGAGAAATGCTTGTGTATGAAATACTTGGAAAACACACATAATGAATGCCGACGGGAATTAATGAGAATCGCAGAGGGCGGCAACAACTTAAAAACACAAACAAGCTGTAAAGTTTACTTAAACTTAGAACCATCTGATGCTCACCTAAAAATGTGTGATTTTAGCCGTTATGAAAAGGACAATATGAAAAACTTAAAGAAAAAGAATGGAGGAGGAGGAGAACAAAGGTCTCTTCCGCCATTAAAATGGTATATGGTGTATATGAAGTACAAACATATATAAATATACACAGAGTTGAAATAATACATCTATAACATTTTAAAAATACAAAATTTATTAAACTAATATCGTTATATATAAAATTATAGATATATATACACATATATATATGCATAACTATATATAAATCGATATGAATCATATAGAAAGTTTATAAACATTGACACAATAAAATTTGGTTGAAGTTGCCTGATTTGGTACCAAGACAGGTTTGTGTATTCGATTTTTGAATTTAATTTCTGGTTCTAGAGTTCATTTGAAAATCCTTCATTACTGTGATCCAACAGCTTATACTTCTCTTGATCCACCTGAAGGAGGGCGTGGCAGGCGGGTGTAGGCATTTTCAAAGCGTGCTCATGCAAATTACGATTGTTGATGTGCCGAGCGCGTTGCAGCAGCTTGTTACCTGTTTGAATAAAAGATATCCATATATATACATACATGCATCTATATGTATATATCTATGGATCAATGGCAACTCACGTAGCTTGCGTTCCTGTTTGCAGTTATGTTTGAGCTCACTTAGATAGATTTCATCGATCTCTTGCTCTAAGAGCTCCAGCTGCTTTGGCGTTTGGCTTCCCGCCAGTTCGGGAGTTACAAAGTAGGGGATACGGCTAAGCCGACTTATCATGCGAACAGTGTGACTGCTGCAAGGGATCAGAGCATATATTAGCTGTGATCCGTATGGATATATTCCCTGCCGACTTACCTGGTGGGTGAAAAGCTGTAGTTAGGTGCTGTTGCCAGGTAGTGTAGAGTGATTATAATAAAAACTAATGCGGCTACAAGTCCAATGACAAGCTGTTCGGTCTGATAGAGACTCTGGCGCTGGGGCACACGCTGATTGGCAGGCTGATAGCTGCGACGTGGCTGCACTTGCTCCGCTTCCTCCTCCTGTAGCTTAGCGAACCGTTGCCGGCATGTGTTCTGCCCGTCATCGGGCTTGTTGTCCGGATAAGTATTCTTACTGACAGGACAATCGCCGACAGCTGTTAGCAAATTGTACTCAATGCGCCGCTGATTATCGGTCAATATGTCCGCTGCCTCGTTGATGCGTCGAAAGGCAATCTCAGCGCCGGGAGCACGATTCTTGTCGGGATGCAGACGCAGCGCGAGACGCTTATAGGCACGCTTCACCTCCGAGTAGGTGGCATGGTGTGAAATGCGCAGCACTTCATAATGGTTTCGACAGCGAAGCACCTTCTGCACCACATCGAGCATGTGTACACTGAAGCTATGGGGCAGCGCAGTCGATTTTAAAGTGGGTCCAATTAGTTGCTCTGGATCCTCGCATTTAAGACGCAGACGTGCCACAATGTTTTTTAGCTCCAGCAGTGCTGTAGTCTCCTCATGGCTGTTATTGCAGTGCTCCATGCCCTCATTTATCACTTCCATGGCCATTGAGTAGTTTCCCAGTATTAGTTCAGCCACAGCTTCTGTTAGCCAGTGCAGATTAGGCTGTACATCCGAGTCCTGCGCTGCATAGTCTCTGCATTTTCCAGCAGCTTGTGTAATCAAAAATTTTTGTTTGATATACATAACTGCAGTTCAGCTAAGCTTAAAACAATTAATTTTGTATAGGCTGCAATGAATTTAAGCACAAGCTCAATTCACAATGATCTGTGTCTAACTAATCTATTTTCATTAAAATTTTGATTTCTCCTTTTTGTTTGACACATGACACGAGACAATCTTAAAATGTTTTGGTTTAGCACAAGACAAGTATATTTCTACATGCATCCACACATTTTATAAGGAATATTGTGGATGTTATAGTTCTCTAAGCATATCTTGATAAGCGCGACTTTAGCAAATTAAGAGTTTTTAACTATAACTATTGTACTTAAAAATTACACTATTTATGTCCAGTAAGCATTAGAAATGGTTAAAAAGAGTTTCTGGCTTCTATTTGAATATAATGCACGAGGAACCTATTTAGTAGTAGTACATACTATGTAATCACATTATCCAGACCAAAAAAATGATAAAAGCCACCCAAAGTAAGTAAAAAACTCAATACATATAACTTTTAAATATTTAATTAATAAATACAACAAAATATAATATGATAATAAAATAGGTCACACTTTTATAAAATCAATTATAGTCTAAAGCTGTTATAATGTAACCCTTAACCTTATTCACTGTAACCTTTCACATTTCAAATTTAAGCTCTTTGGCAAAATTTGGCCTAAATAAAACAAAAGCTGGCTGATTGAGAATTGGCCAACTAAATGACAGCTGACACCGTTTGCAATCCCAAAGTGCGCTTCAAACTTTTCACTTCGGCCTTCAGCTCGGTTTGTCCTTCGTCTGTAACTCAAAACTTGAGTTAATTGAAATTAATTTCTATGCTTGAATGGGGGCGGCAACTTAATTAAAATAGCAAGCATTGCAAGCGTTCCACGCCCACCCTCCTTCTACTCTGCCAGGCAGTCAAGGCCATTAAGCACAGACCAAAATCTTATTAGCAGTAAAGAAAGCAGAAGACGTAGAGGAAGAAAAATCACAAGTCGAAACAGTTACAAAAGCAGCCCCAAAACTAGAAAGAAAAAATCATCATAGCTAATCTGGCCCTAAGCTGCGTGAAACGAATGAAAAGCCCGAAAATAATAATAACAATAAAGAAGGAAAAAGGGAAAACGCAGATGCAAAATTTGAGCACAGGGTGCTTTTTTTTTGCAGCAAACGATATGCCTTATCAGTGTGCCCAGACGCAATGATGGGTCGCCGGTTGCTGCGAGACACAAAGGACCAATTAAAATCTAAAGTGAGTTTAAGGGGGGACCCAGCTGCGGTAACAGCAGCAGTTAGTCAAACGGGGGGTTGTACACAAATTTGCGCTGGCACGTACAAGTTGCGTATATGTATATGTATGTGTGTGTTTGTTGTTGTTATGCCCCAGGGGGGTTGCATGTTGTTGGTAATGCCGGTAAAGCTTGCACCTCATGTGCCCGTCACACAGGGGCATATTCATTTATTAATGGGTGTCCCTCGCTAGCATGGGTGAGTACTTGTTACTGCTGAAAGGTGGTTGCTATTTAAATGGAATGATGTTCTGATTGGATTGTGTAGACGAGTTGAAATCATAAAGACGATCGCCAACTCTAAACAACGTTGCTTTCGAAACCAATATAAATACCAATTCTAATTGAATTGGTATTGTTTGAGTACTCAACCTTAAATCTGATTTGATTTATGTGACACATGGCAGATGTAGAAGTGCAACCGATCATAACTTTACTTAGCCTCAATCAATTAAAATTGATTAAATAAATTCTGTTTATCTTTCATGCAAGATTATTATAGAAATTCTGAGGCGATCACTGAGTGTGACCAGGTCTAGCTTAGAGATTTAAGCGTGCACAGTAAACTGCAAAATAAAACAACAAATGCTAAAACCGTAAATATTGATTTTTCACACATGACTCCTCGGGGAAAAGGCGGCAGAACCTCTCTTTCCCCCTCCAAACACTTCCCTTCACACAGCCGAAGCAGCAGCCTTTCCAACCGGCAGACAGACAGACACTTGAGGCACCTGGTCTCTACACCTCGTATCTGTTCTGCATTCTGCGGCAGTTCGTAAAATTTATAAAGAGGCAGAACATAAAATGTAGACATTGCCACACACACAAGCGCACACCCATAATTATATACATACGTATATATATACACATATCCAGACTCACACAATGACACGCATGAGTTGCATTTGTTTATGCTAAGAAGTGCATTAAACGTGCAGCTGAAATGAGTTTAGTTGCTGGTGCTGGGGCCATAAAACTCAAGCATAATTTTATTTCTATTTCTAATTGTTATTATTACTCACTGGCCATGTTGCTCTTGTTGTTTGCGTTGTTGCCTAATGCCGTTGCTTCTTCTTAGTTTAGCCGCCTTTTTCTTTGACTATTTTTCCTTTTGTTGTATTAACGCTGTATTAACTCTCTTATTGGTAGACACAAAATGAAATTGGGCTCATCAAAGAACTGAACACATTTCACAGCATTTGTATTTTTGTGTATCTTCCCGCACAATGCACACCAGCAATAACTGCGCTTTGCACTTTATATCACTAATTTTTATATATTATAAGCACTTATTTGTTGTATCAAAGATATTTCGCGAAATGACAACAAGACGCAATGAAAACTCGACTGCAACTGAGCTTGAGTGCCAGCGTTGATGGTATCGATACTTTGCTATTCTATCGATAGTCGCCAGTATGACCAAGTATACCACCAGCTGTTGTCAACATTAGAGTAAAAGAGACAACTCTATTACGCCACTAGCAGAGCTGCCAGGTCGCGTGCTCTGTGCACAACAAATTGTTTATTGTTTAGGAAGTTGAGCAGAAATTGTGAATAACATCTCGTATAATTAGCGACATAATATTAATCGAGTTACAAATTAAATTTCTCAGACGATTTCGCCTAGATGTCTATCAAATGAACTTAAAAGAAGTAAACGCATAGACGTGACAACACCGCACTAGTTGGACATCAAATAAATCAGTTTCGGTTTAGCCAACTGCTAAGGCGTTTTAGCCAATATTTAGACTTGGTTTAACACAATTTACGCGTTGCGTGACTGTCACATAAAAGCTTATAAAATTGGCAAAATAAGTAAGCATAGCAACAAGATGCCGCCAGCGTCTGCGGTTAACAATAACAATGCGGCTGCACAAGCGGCAGCTGCAGAGCGAGCAGAAAAGCTGCGAGGGTCACTTAAAGGCTTCATACTAGCCGAGAGACAGCGCAGACAAGAGGGTAAGTCAAATTAACTTTTTCTAAAAGCACAATAAGTTTAATGTATTCGCATGCAGAGTACGAGAGACAGTGTGAGGAGCTGCGCCTGCGACGGGAGCAAGAGGCTCGTGAGCGCGAGAACAATTTATCTCTCGAAGATACACGTGGACAAATAAGTCGACTGGATGAGCAACTTGCCGATTTGCATCAGAAAAAGCATCAGCTGGTTGTACAGCTGAAGAAAGTTCTTAACGATGACGAAACGCGTAAAAAGCAGGCGAAAGAAAATGAATTATTTGCAATGCAGCAGGAAGCAGCCGCCACTGCAGCCAGAGCTCAGGTATTTCTGCCACCTGGTCGCTTACATCATCAGCTGCCGCTGCTGCAGAAGGTCAGTCACCTCTATATACATTACCAAGCATTATATAAACTATAAATGTTTTTCTTTAGCAACCGCCACCTCCTGGCAGCCAGTCAACAACTGTAAAACGCGGTCGCAGTCCCTCGCCACCCAGCCAACAGCATCAGGCGTACTACAAGAGCCCCGCTAACTACGCAACACAACAACCACAGAGTAAGGGAGACCCTTCTAAACAGAGGGCTTGTCACTACTTCACTCTACTAATCTACATATATAGTCATTGTCACGTCTTTGAGCAGCCCTTTCTAACTCACACAGACACACTTAATTTACGTTTTCATTTCGTTATTTGTTTACAATTCGTTTCGCAGAACACGATGACTTCTGTCGTGGCGCGGATTATGCTAAAATGTCATGGAACAGTAAGAACATTAATCGTTACTCTTTAAGTAGTTCATATAACACCGTCTAAGTTGAGCTTGCAGAATGTTTGACCACCCACTAAATTTGTAACTTTCCCTGTTTCTGTTTTGCAGAATCTACGGCACAGTATCCGAGTACAGGCACTCTATTCTATCAGACTTCGACGGCCCCAACGACTACACAGCATCAAGCAGACGCTCGTCTTCAGTCCATATACAACTATGGCTTGCCCCTTCGGCCTCCATATCATGTTGAGCTACAACCAGGGCCCAGCGCAACGGTCAGCAAAGCTCCTGGCTCACAGTCACCATCGCCAAAAGCACAGCCGATGCAGGTGCTTCACATAAATTTGGATCAACCTCCCATTTCGCAATCAGACCTGGTGCAGGTACAGGCGGGAGCTAGCAGTCTATCCGTGCAAACGTCCAATAAGCCACAGGTGACCATGGAGAAGCTACCGGATCGCTATCACATAGAAGTGAAGCATGATGGTTCGTCACAGAGTCATGTGCCTCCTCCACCGCATTTATTGTCCGAGGGTGGCGTCATCTATAAGCCACTGCTCGGCGAGCTGTCGCTGCATCCAAATGTATTGCAAATCAGCAGCAGTGCAGCACAGGTGAGATCTGGTGAATATACTATAATTACCTAGTCATGCCTAATTTTTTCTTTCATTTATGCAGAATGCCAAGGCCACGGGTAGCATAACGCAGGGGTATGCGCCTGGCCGAGGTGCCAGTCCCTACGATCAACAATTGGCCAGGCAACAGCTGTCTATGCTGCCCGGTCAGCCGGGATCGGGCGCAAGTGCCGGACAGTCACCGCACGGCCAACAGATACAGTTCACGCGACGCTTATATTGATTCCATATTTATGTAAATCTGCTAAGCTCACTCATAATTTTACGATTTTAACTGGAAATAATTTAAAATGTTTTCGACTAAGCTGCATTGCAGCCGCACAGAATAAAGCACACAACTATGGCGTCCCTATTTTCCAATTAATCTGGTTATAATTCGTTAATCGTTTTACTTTCATTCTCTGTCTACAGTAAAGCATGCTGGTGAAAGGCCAGCGCATACGTCAGCTGTGACATGTGGTTTTCATTTAAGTAACCAGTTATGTGAGCCGGTTTTGAGGTGTGAAAAATTAAAGAGCTGTTAAAAAATAACTAAATCAAGTAACCACTGTACTTTCCATATCGAATATATAAATATGGGATTTTGCTGGTACAGTGTATATACTCTATAACAGCTATACAAAGATCATGCTAATAAAAAATTTAATTATGACGTCAACTTACTGGAAATAATCATTAAGAACTTTAAGTTATAGCAAAATATTTGCTTTAAATACATAACGGTAGATGATATATACTGGCAGAGATTACTGTAGATAATCATGCATGTCCGTGTTTTGTTTACTCTCTCAACTTGTTTGTCCAGCTGTCGAATGCTAGCGGAAATAATTTAGTATTTATGCCTGAAAAGCTTCTTGGGAAGGGGCTAAGCAATTTGCCTATTAAGCGACAGATAAAATTACTTTCATTTGACGTAAGCGTCCTATCCCACTGGGAAAACTAGACAGAGACTAAGCGAGAAAAACTGAAGTCTTTACTATTTCGAAAACTTAAGAAACAAATTCTACTGCAAAATAAATTGAATGAATCATGTAAATAGATTTTGTTGTTTTATAATTTATATTTACGTATGTATGTATGTATATGTGCGGCCGCAGCATGGAAATACATTTACATATGGCCGAGGTTAATTGTACAGTGTGCACTCGTTAATTAGATTTGGTGACTGTGACGATGAAGCAGATGAAAATGAGGCAAAGTCGCAATAAGTATATGCTTGTCTGTATATATGTACATATATTTATATACATATATATACACACCTTTTTTTATTATGACAACTGGGTATTCCAAGCCACGTTTATTCCACTGGATTACGCAAGTTACAACAGCTTGTAAACCAGTTTGGCTATTGTTGTTATCGTTACTATTGTTGTTGTAGCAGGCATTGTTGTTGTTTTGGTGTCAGGGAAAAGTGAGGCTTAGAATTAAATATTGCGCTCGAGATTGTCATTAAAGGAGGAAGCTTAGCTGTAATTTCAGCTCCACATTGTAATTGAAGCTTGAAAACAAGGTATTTGATATAAAACGTATGTCAATGTAAAACCCCAAGACGAGAACACGTTTTGGCGCGCAACCACAAAACCAAAAAACTGAAAACGAAATACAAAAAATCACGTTCAAAGCCAAGCTGCATTTGCATAAATAAACAAACAAAGGGCCTTCTAAATAGTTTCTATTTATTAAAAAGAGACAGAGAAAAACTAGTTGATGCAATTATAAAGAATGGCGCCAGCTATGGCAACGCCATCCAAATGGGTCGGGGTTGGGGAAATCGTGAGCAAAACAAATACAAATAATACAGAATGTACAAACATACATACATATATACATATATACATATATACATATGTATGTATGAATGCATTGCGCGCCAATAAAAATGGTAAGGTAATCAATTGGAAGCCGAGTGCCAAAACGCCAACGTGCCCCCGCTCGACGCGTTGGTGTATGTATGCTCGGTGTCTGTGTGTGAGCGACCCCAACCGACTGGCGTGGAGCAACAGGCGGTTGTTGTGGTCGCCGATCTCAGTCTGAAACGACAACGGCAACAGTTCATACCGTAGCGCGCGCAAAACAAAACGCAAATCGAAAATAAAACGGAAAATTGTACGCTCAAGGTGTGTAAGTGTGCGTGTGTGTGTGTGTGAGAATTTCGAATACCGTTTGCTTTTGCATGTGTGTTTGTTTGATCGCAGAGTGTTGCAAGGCGTCAACTTTCAAGTGTTGGAAATCAGTTTAGGGATCGTTTAGTTCACACATGCTAGCTCGCTTGCTCTCAAGCGTTGTTGGCATACGTAAATGTCAAAAGTTTAGTTCGAGTTGCAAAGCAAAGCAAAGCAAAACATAAAATAAAGAAGACATACGAATGACAACAAAAAACTGAAAAATAAAATTAGCCACTGCTAAGACAGAGAAACATATGTATATGTACAAAAGCCACATACAGACAAACAGCAGTTTATATATAAGAAATCGAACCGATTTGGAAGGCGTTTGCGGTGCCAGTTTATTAAGTAAAATAAAAATGATGTCATAAAAAGCAATTGCATAAAAACAGTTCTCAATAGTTTATCCACACCCTTTCCCACCCTTTCGCACACTCTTTTAGGCACTAGTGTACTTAATAGGAAATAAAGACTATACCAGAATGGATAAGCTCTTGGAGAAATATCACAGCTTATGTAATTATATGGAGCGCGACACAGTGGGCACCGAATTGGCCATCTACGGCACCTCGTCGTTGATGTTGCTGGTGGCTTACATAAAGAGGAAGCCGGCTTATCTGGTGCGCCAATTCAAGCAGCCGTCCCATATACCGGAGCGGATTATCAACGAGAGGATTATGCATACCGGACAAATACGTGGCGTCCAGCAGCGTGATCAGGATACATTGCTGATGATCAAGCATCGTCCGCTGATACCCATCTTCACATCTCGCGAGAAACTGCTGCCTGTGAAGCTGCCTGGCGTGCGGGTCAACGCCAATGGCTACTCGTGGCTGCAGCAGTGCCTAATTGGACGTGAGGCCACCTTCATACCGCTCAACAAGAGCCAAGGACAGGATTATGTTGTCTGCCAACTGTGTTTGGTGCATCCGCCCAAGGGCAATAAGCTGATCGATGTATCCGAAACTTTGCTCAAGTTGCGCTTCGCCCGATTCGCTCAGGACGTTGCAGCGGCTGTGAAACGAAACAGTAAATACTACAAGCACCTGCGACAGGTGGAGAGCAGCACTGCCAGCAAGGAGGCGTGGCTAACATGGGCTGCGCGTTACCCATTCATCTGGGAGCGTTTCAATCAGTTAAAGGCGTCGCTGCTGCCTAAGCAAAAACTGTTGCCCGAGCTGGTACGCTGAGCAATCCACTGCCACGCCTTGACCTCACAATTAATTTTTAAACGAAACGTTGAACGTTTGAAAATGTTTGTTAATTTAATTTCTAAGCACCCCAACAAATTCAACGAAAATCCCAATATAGAAGACGACAAAAATCAAACATGTTTTGCTGTTAAACTTTGCAGCTTGACTAAAAATGATAAGGAACGAAAGCGAAAAGAATTTGATTTTGTTATAAACAAACACTATTGTTGTTGACGCTTGCAAATGTATGTAGAGATGTATCTGTGTATGTATATATATATGTATGTATGCATGTGTATTCATATAGATCGTGTGTATATACGTGCATTTGACTTCTTCAATAAAAATGATACAATAATATATTTATAACGTATGCTTGATATTTTTTATTTTTGTATACATATCGTATGTGTGTGCGAGCGTAAAATATATATGTATATTTATATGTTTAAAGCCGAAAAATGAATATCCAAATATTAAACAAATCAAAAACAGTTGCAGTTCTTCAATCGTCCCAACGAATCGAATTGAATCTCAAAACTCAAGCAAAATGAGCTGTGGAATCTCTATGGTTAAATATATATTATTTATATTCAATTTACTCTGCTCGGTGAGTGTACAAAAAAAACATATAAATATAAAAAAGTAGTTGCGTGTTTTTTTTTTTTTTTTTTTTTTTTTTTTTTTTTTTTTTTATTTATTTTTTTTTTTAAGTTAGTTTAATCACATTTTCTATTGTTTGTAAAGTTTTATATATTTGAGGTTTACTTTTAATTACGTTTTCCAGTGACGTGCCAAAGCCTAATTCGTTCGCATGATATCATAAGTCGTAGCTCTGAAACAGGTTTTCTTATGCTTACATACAGTACAGTAAACACTGTGGCTGACTAACAAAAGTGACTAATATGTTGTTGTTTAAAGAATTTATTTTTTGCCTGTTAGGTAATAGAAGAAATATTTGATAAGGTTGAAAGAAAGCGAAACTCAGCTCAGTTGTGTATAGCCAGTGTTCACTGTGCATTGTTTTGCTTTTGGGAATATATTTTAGGCCTACAAACCGGTTAACGAAAAAGTCACAAGCTTTTGAGATCATCAGGAATGCAAAACTTGTTATTTAAAGAAAATTGGGCTAACTTGGAGAATTGTGTGGATGACGTACATATATATATATATAGAAGGTGGTTTAAAAACCGATGTAAAATAATTTATTGTATAATAAAATTTACAGTTTACCCTCGCATAGCAACTCAATTGCTATTTTTTTTCTGTATATATATATGTGTCTATATATATGTTTTTTATTTTTATTCTTTAGTTTCCCATATAAGTAACATTTGACCAGCAGCTGCAACGAGGTCAACTAGTCGAACAGCTGCAACAGGTTTCATTTGTTTTTGTAATTTCTCAAAGGCAACTTCTAACTTCCATTTGAAATAATGAAGAAAAAAAAACTATACTAAAGAGCAGTTATAAAGCGCTATAGACATACACATACATATGACTTATAAAATTTTATAGCTAAATGTAATGTAGAATAAAATTTGAAATAAATTTGTAGTTTAGTCACGCAAACAAACAGCCAAAAATTGTGCAATATGAAATGGGAAATTGCGCAAGTGCGAGGGTGCCCACGCCTAAAATAGTCGGTCTTAATTATAAATATATATGAACTTGACAGTACAGCCAGTTAGTCAGTCAGTCGGCCAGTCAGCCCCTCAGTTCGTCTGGCTGTGAGAGCAGACATTGCATTTACTCACGCACCCTTTGGGGTATATTTTGTAATGGAAATTGGGCGTCGGCGTTGACAGCACACTTGAACTCATTTGGCTTGACTTACGGTTTATACTATATACTACATACTATACATATATATAGATGTGTATATACATGTATATATGTATATGTATCTATGTAGTTTAACGATTACTCTGTACACATAGCTATGCCATTCATAAAAGCGCTCATCGCTGTCTGATCTCAAATGGCTGACTCGTTGACTGCATAAATTATTCGTTGATGTCGTCTTTAAAATAGGTCAAATTGTGAGTTCAAATGCTCTCATTAATTGCCACGGAAGTGGGCTACAAAATATTTGGTTGTTTGACCAATCAAACCGAATTTTCATACACTACAAATTTAATTGCAATTGATTGTGATGAAACGAAAAGGTTTACCTGTCAAACCTTTTAGATGATTTCAACGTCCCTAAAATGTAAGCCCCATTTGCTCTAAATTAGTCACGCTTATAAATGAGAATTGCAATTGCAAAGCCAATGACGTTTGTCACAAATGAAATCAATGCAAACATTTGTCCTTAGCATATATATATTTGTTATGGATGTCCTCTAATCTAAATTGCCTAATTGGATTGACTATCGATTAGATAGTAACTATTGATAAGGCAAAAGTAGCAATTAACGCTATCATAAACGTAGCGCCTAAAAATAAAATGTATAAATCGAATTACTAGTATAAATTTATGCAAATATTCTTAGGAGAAATAAAAAGGTAGAAAATCGGAGTATTCTGATAATTGCAGCCTGATTATAGACTCAAAACATAGATCCTTTGTAGCATAGACAGTTACTATAAGTGTTGGCTCTTAGACCTTTTCAGCCTGTTAAAATACTAAGTGTCGCCCTCTGGCGATATCAGTTTCAAACATACAAATCCTTTTTAAGCATAGACAGCTACCATAAACTCGACCTCTAGCGAGCGAACTATATACGGAAGGCAGATCATAGCGCCATCTCTATGCAATATTGATCCTTTAATTAAGTACAACAACCTATAGTGAAGACATCTAACATAGTTAATAGAAAACCGATCCAATTAGATCTCATTAATATGTACAACAACCATTGCTGATGACATCTAGCGAACATAAATAGTACTTGATTGATTTTAGACCTCTTCACACATAAGCGTGGCGCCAGCTTACGTTTAGTAGGCACACTGCTTGCAAAAAAATTACCAATAGATCGCGCTAATGCACTGCTGACAAGCAGTTGTACTGCTTTATGCGTTAATTACATTAACACATTTGAAATACAAATACGTTTACCAAAATCTTGCAATATATAATAATAATTCTGTTTGCTCATTTTATTAGATATGCGGCATCTTGTTAATTGTATTTGGAGCGTTGCTCTTCAGCAACATTCATAACGTCGATGATTTTACCGATGCACTACGCACCCAACAGGTGCCCATAACAATGATTGTGCTGGGCACCGTTATATTGTTGATCTCTTGGTTTGGCTGCTGTGGCGCCATACGCGAATCCTACTGCATGTCCATGACGGTGAGTGCGAAAGAGATAGATGTAAGGAGAGTGAGAGAGAATGATATATGTATATTTGTTTCTATTCAGTACTCGATTCTGCTGTTTGTGCTGATGATTGGCCAGCTGGCTCTGGTTGTCTATATGTGGCTACAAAAGGACAAATATCTCGTGATCATGGGCGATGTGGTGGAGAAGGCCTGGGAACGACGCACACGACGTGCCGACTACATGGATGCCATACAGATTAGTGTAAGTGTTTTACCCGGATAACAGATTTAAGCCGATTAGAAGAGAACTCTCTATCACGATCTCCCTCCCTCTCTCTCTCTCTCTTATGTAGATGGAGTGCTGTGGCCGCAGCAGCTATGCGGATTATGCCTTCCAGGGCTATTTCCCGCCCTCGTGCTGCAAGGATACCAACAATTGCCGCCAGGAGACGGTCTATCGTCGCGGCTGCAAGCAGGCATTTGTCGAGTTCTGGGACAGAAACAGCGACATTATCAAATACACCGGCCTGGTCATCGCCGCCATTGAGGTGGGTCATGAAATTCCATATATGATTCAGTTAATTAAGTCTCCCGTTTCTACACATTTCAATTACAGTTCGTTGGCTTCATTTTTGCCTGCTGTTTGGCGAACAGCATTCGGAACTATCGGCGTCGAGCGGACTATTAATGGACTCCAGTATTTCTGAGTCCCCGACTTTGAGGCCTTACTAATTTTAATGCAAACCGAAAGTACGAATTATGTTGCCCAATTTTATACAAATCAATTTTATATATACACATATATATATCTATTACTGATAAATTGATGATTCAGTTGGCCATTCAACTTTTTTTTTAATTACTGCACACTTTTTGTTAAATGAAAAAAAAAAAAAAAAAAAAAAAACAAACAACTTTGAAAATTGATTTACAATAATATATCCCCACCTTTTCGTTAATTGTGCTAATTTTGTCTGTACAAATTGAATGCATAAAATTACTTTTAATTTATACAAAATGCAATAAAAATATAAATTAATTGAGGCGGTTGTATTTTCACTGGAAGTTCCAACTTGACTATATTCCCAAATCGATCAACAGATAGGCTAATCTTAATTAAATTTCAGTAGAAAACTTTACCACTCGGACTATTGAACACTCTATGGGTGTTATCTTTCATATAAAGTCGTTGGGACATTTTCGTTTGTCATATGGCAAAAAGGCATGCGAATAGTCTGATAGCCCAATGATCCGACGATATGATATAGGAGCTGCTTAGAACTTACTTTCACAACAGGGAGACATGAAAATAATACAGAAATATATATATGAACGTATATGAACTGAACTTGTTGGTATTGTTGGTGTATATATTGGGCAGAAGTACGGGTGGACGTGAAAAAAACTGAAATATTTTGTCAATAAATAAATGTCTTTTATCTTTATTTAGTAAGGAAAAAACGTTTTTTGAGAACTACCGACAAGCTAATAATATTAATGATAATAGTTAGATATAGTATTCGTATATAGTAAACAATTCATAGCAAACTTCGCGTGTTTATTATATTATCTATATCAGTTATAATTTAATTAGCAACAAGAACTTTATTTATTCTCTTTATTTATTTATTTATAATAAGTGAAATGCTGCATGCTTAGTGACTTTAACTAGCTCACAATATAGCAATCAAATTTACTCAATAGGGTTTGTATTGAACCGTTTCCTGGCCAAATCGGGCAACATCTGATTAGGGTTTCATTTACGTTAGGTAATCAATAAAGCATGTCCAAAAGTTCTGGGGGACTCCCGACGGGAAAAGTTTCGTGATTTCGTGCAAGACAACCGCGGCCGATAAGCTGATTTTGACTCATAGAAAAATATATATTAGAACTAGTTGAAGATGAATCACGAGCAGCCTCATGATGTTTATCAATGGAGACCCCCAATAGCCCGGACTACAGAGTTATGCTGATAATGCAAAAGCATAAGTTGTGCGTCAGACCAGATGAACTTTTATCTCTCTGTCTCTTAGTTAATATCTGGGCATAAATAATAGAAGCGTGCAATAAACAATTGACAGTACAACCGGGACATGCCATTTGTTAGGTGCACTCCGATAAGGGTCCATTGATAAGCCCGCCCAGTATTCTCTCTTTATGTTATGTGATTTCCCAGATAATGGTTTAGATAAGCTAGCAATTCTAGACCCGTGGAGCACCACAATTCCATTATTAAGGCCCAAATCTTAGCAATAGAGCTCAATTACGAACCGAGCAGTCGCAACGAGCGAACCTTAATCGAAAACTAACGGAAACTAAAAAAAAAATCCATCAACATGAATTGTCTATCGCAGATGGTCAAGTATTTACTGTACTTGCTCAATGTCGTCTTTGTGGTGAGTGTATAGTAGAGAAAAGATTGCATCGAAGTGGAAAAAGAGGAAGCTAAGCCAAATCAACTGTTAAATCTTAAAGGATATGGATTCTACTCAGGTCCATGTATTGTCTTCTGCAAAGGCAGTTTAAAAGTTGGTGAATTTGACGAAAGAGAGAGAGAGAGAGAGAGAGAATTTTAAGATATTTGATATACAAGGTATTATAAATAATTCCTAATATATTATAAATTTCTAGGCTGCAGGTATTTTGCTCATCGTAGTTGGCTCGATCATGCTGGATGGCATGGGAACCTTTAATTCGTTCAGCGACACGTTCAATGCCCGAACCATACCCATTTGCGTCATAGTCGTTGGCTGCATCATATTCGTGGTTGCCTTCTTCGGCTGCTGTGGCACCATACGCGAGAATTCCTGCTGCACCACAATTGTAAGTGTGTCGCTCTGTTCTAGCCAAACTTATTTAACTTATCTAAATGCCTTTCTCTAGTACGCCGTTTGCATGTTCATTCTGTTTGCCTTGCAATTGGCTCTGTCCATCTGGCTCTTTGTGGAGAATAGCAGTTTTGCTGACAGAATCAGCGAGGTGGTGAACAAGGCCTGGCTGGAGAATGATGATGCCAATGGCTATCCCATGGACGCACTTCAGCTAACTGTAAGTATTTAAAAGGAGCCCAGTTTCATTTGATTTGCTAACAATTTTGTTGTTTCACTTTAGTTCAATTGCTGTGGCCGAAACAGTTATAGGGATTATGTCGGAAACGTGCCCGCCTCGTGCTGTGGCTACACGGATCGCGGGAAGAGCTGCTCTGCGGCCATTTACGAATCACGTCCTGGCTGCTATCAAAAGTTCAACGATTTCTGGACCACCAATGCTGACATCATCTGCTGGAGCAGCTTGTTCATCTCCCTCTTTGAGCTCGGCATTTTCATATTTGCCTGCTGCTTGGCCAGCGCCATGAGAAAGCGCTAAGCTCTAACCGCTGTTAGTCTATCTACTACGTATATTACATCATTACATCATCACACACCAACGAATGTTCATCAAAGCCATAAATAAACAAACTAGCTTAGTAGTATTTTTTTCAATGTGAACTTATTGTCAGTTGTCATTTGTATACCCTGTAATGGAAGCTCAGAGTATCGTGGTGTGGCTAAGCCTTTTGTAACAGGCAGGAGGATGAACTTCATTCCTGATCAGACCGACCAGAGTCGATCAAACGTTATCTGTCTATCTACTTTCCATTTAGTTTAATTTATTTGGGTATCTTTGGTGGGTTATTTCCTAGCCCATCAACATTTGGCTAAAGTTTCTGCAATTGCTTTATCTGATCTGGTGACATATCTTATCAGTTTTCTCTATATAAATAATTTGTAGTTGTATTTCGGGCCTAATTTTGAGCATAGTTCGCAGAACTTATTATCAATAAATATATACAAATATATATATTGCTACATAGTCTCTAGGTGGTTATTAGATCATACTAACTTGTTGCTGATTCATGGCTTATCAATGAATATATACCAAAATGTACTCAAAATATTTACTTTGAACATTACTTTTCCATTTTTGGCAGACCTAGAGCAACGCTGCGTTGACTGGTTATCTTTATCTATTCGTTGATAAGATACAAACAGGGGAAGCCTATCTAGATATGAGCAAAGCTCCGATTTTCATTTATAATAGCACGCACAGAGGTGGGCCAGTTCAATCGAACGAAAGTAATCGACGCGTCCACAAAGCGCGAAAAATATTTCAAAACAAATCATAATTTGTCAACATTCTAAAATTTAATTTAATTTGATTAAAAGTTGAACAAAACTGCTTCAAGATGGGCTGCATGTCGGGAATACTGAATATTTTACTCTACATAATAAATATTGTGTTTTTGGTGAGTTACTCTTCCTAGAAATATGAAAATATTGTGAAATGTGCATAAGTGAAAACAAATATGTATTAATATTTGAAGATTGTAATAATTAGCGGTTTTATTGTTTTTAAAACAATTAAAATTTGTAAATAACTAAGAAAACAGTTGATCATAAGAAAAAATACATATATATTTGAAATGTAAATAAGGTAATCTTATTCATAACATAATATTTTGAAAAGTTTTTGAATTTAAAAAATTGGAGGGATTTATAAGAAATTTTCAAAAAAATTCTTTTAAATTGGAATAATAAAAACTACTTCAATTCTCTAAAAAAAATGTCTAATTTTAAATTTTAAGACAAAACTTTCAAGTATCTTTAACTAAATTATAAGAAAATAAAAAGTAGAATTGTTGAGAAATAATGATATAGATAAAATTTTCCATAATAAATAGCTAGAATAAATTGATTGAATTATCTAAAGCCTATTTAAATCTATTCATAAAATTAATTTAGTTAGAATTATTATTAATGTGGAAACTTATAGGATTGAAATATTGGAAATTCAAGGCAAGAAATTAATATATTTTTAATCTTGAATAATTTGCATTGCTTATAAAAAACTTATAAAAATATTTGTCACCTAAGTAGCGTATTACGCAGTTAACAAGTCTAAAAATACTATATAGATAATTATATACATGAATATATAGTAACCAATGTTACTCATGCGCCAGAGCTCATGGAATTATTTTTGTATATGACTATTTATCTATCTATATATATAATATATATAATGCGACAGTCTTTATCATTTCCAGTGACTCAAGCACTTGAAATGTAATGAGATTCTCATTATGATAAATGTAGAGAGGTGGACATGTGCTTGTTAGTCGTTATCAATGATGGATTTTGTCAGATTTGTGACAATGATAACAATGCAAAAATTACTACTCATCCTGTAATAATATCTGACAAAGTCCATTCATTATATTATGTATAAAATACATCCGAAAACATGATGAATCTATATCCAGCAATTTTAACATCTTCAATTTATGAGAGTTGCATAGAAGAGCATTACCAATAATAAACCTCATTGTTATATAAAAATGTTTTCCTTTTTCTTATTAGGTGGTCGGCATATTGCTAATAGTGCTGGGCTCCATAATGCTATCGAACTTTAGCCAATTGACCTATGTCGAGCAGCTATCTAATACGAACACCATCCCAATCTGTGTGACTGTTTTGGGTGCGCTGATCTTTATCATCTCTTTCTTTGGCTGCTGTGGAGTCTGGCGTCAGAGCTCTTGTCTAACTGCAACGGTAAGCTCTCGTTATGATTAAAATGCATATAAATATTTATTTAAATTTTCTATTACTTCTGTTTAGTATGCTTCCATGATGTTCATCCTATTTGTGCTGCAATTGGTGCTGACCTGCTGGATAGCTGTGAATGGCCAAGATTTCCTTAACGATATGAGCAATTTGGTGAATACGCTTTGGAAAGAGAATACAGCTGTGAATAAATATCCAATGAGTGCATTGGAGCTCACATTCAGCTGCTGTGGCAACACTAGCTACAATAACTACCTCGACAGCAATCAACAGGTGCCCGGCAGCTGCTGCGGCTATCCGAATCGCCAGCAGACTTGCCCCGCTAGCATTTACGAGACCCGCAAGGGATGCAACCAGAAATTCACCGAATTCTGGAGCGATAATAACGATCTGGTGTTGTGGTCTGGCCTCGGCATTTGCATATACGAGCTGATTGTCTTCGTTCTTGCTGGCATGCTGGCCAAATGCATGCGCAATAAAAATGCCATGAGATAAGATGTATGCATTATAAAAAATCTGTTAAAGCTACTGTTAAGAATTACGAATGAATAAAAACAAAGAGACAGAAATATTGAGTTTTTCTCATTTATAATATTTATTTTTTTTATATATTAATAATATATTATTCCTTTTTTTTATTTATCAGAACAAGAAAGTTAATTTTGAAATAACGAAATATATATATATTTTTGTTAAATATGCATTTGTGTGTTTAACACTTTTATTTATTTACATTTTTTATTAAATATATTTAATTACGGCTTCTAATTTATTCAAGAATATTTTCATATTTCATTAATTTAGCTTTTCAAGCATTATTGTGCAAACCCCAAAAGTATGCAAAGCTTATTTATGCTATGCAAGTATTATATGAAAGCTCGCTGCATTTAAAGATAACAAAAGTTCCATAAAGTGCTTTATTACCGAACTACGTGCTGAAAAAACAGTTTGTTCCTCGAATTGAAGTTGTGAAGACTGTAGTCAACGCGTTCAGCACACAATTCTGTCTCTATTAAAATGGATTGTGGTGGAGTTTTTGTTAAATATGTGCTCTTCATATTCAATATATTGTTTGTGGTAAGTAATGGCTGAGACAGGCTCAACTGTATGTTATGAAAAATAAAAACACTCATAGACCCAATCTTATCTCAAGCGTTTCAAAGCTCATGATCTTTTCACAAAAAAAAAATAAAATTATATGTACATTAATATCGGTTTTATCTAATCTAAAAGAGCACTCTCATATCATAAATTGAGTGCGGAATGTCGTGATTTTTGTTTTAAAATTACTTTCCTTTACATACCTATGTTGAGCGTAATTAGTGCTAATGAGCTGTGCCAGATGTTTCGAAACAGGCCGTAGATATGTATAGGGGTAGCAATGAGTAATATATTTTTTTATGACTAATCCAATTGTAGTTACAGTTTCCGTAGATTTGCGAAATGCACTTTATAGTCACGAGGAATGCAATTTATTTTCTCTCATTGTTTTTCAGATATGCGGTATTTTGCTTATCGTGTTCGGTTCGCTTATGGTCTCGGAAATCAAAGATTTTTCGAGTGTGGACCAAACATTTACAGCAAATAGTGTGGCTATTATCATACTTGTATTGGGCTGTGCTATCTTTTTAGTATCGTTTATTGGATGCTGTGGTGCCATACGAGAAAATGTTTGCGGACTTACAGCGGTAAGTATTGTTGAAATTATTGAAATTTATATTACGTTCTACACTAACAGTGATCCTCTATACTTTTAGTACTCCATCATTATGTTGGGCTTATTTTTGTGCCAAATTGCCTTGATTGTCTATGTGTGGATCAATCATGTACAAATTCGGCAATCTCTTGATCAGGTGGTGCAAACGATTTGGGATCAGAGGAAAACGGATGGCCTCCTCATGGATACTCTGCAGAAATCTGTGAGCAATAACGAAGATAGTATCAGAGATCTGATTTTAATAAAATTCTTCCAATGCTCTAGCTAAAATGCTGTGGCCTATATAAGTTCTCTGATTACGGCACTGTCTATCCCGCCTCTTGCTGTGACTCCCCATCAAACGGAACTTGTAGCTTAACTTCTGTTTTGTTTAAGCCAGGCTGCAAATCGGCAGTTGATTCGCTTTGGGACACAAATGCCAACATTATTAAATATGCTGGACTGGGTGTCACTGCAGTTGAGGTACAAAAATAATATAATAATGTAGATTTATTCTTTGTATTTGATTTATTCGTTATTTTACAGTTGGTGGCCTTCATATTTGCCTGCTGCTTAGCAAATCAGGTGCGAAACAACGAAAGACGACAAAATTTTTAAATCTCTATTTATGAGACGGTGTCACTAGCAAAAATTATCTCCTATTTACATATGTACTACACAAAGTAAAAATATTTGCAATTCAATATTGTGTGGGCCACTCTATGGGCTTCGGTAAGAATTACTTCGTAATTTCAAAATGAGAATAAAGAACCAGCTAATTTGAAGAAATTAAATAATTTATAGTTCTTATACCCTGAACCCATTGAAAATGGGAAATCAGGGTTTAATGGTTTTGTGAAAAAGTATGTAAAGGGCAGAAGGAATCATCGCAGACCCCTAAAGTATATATTTTCTTGATCAGCACAACGAGCAGAATCGATATAGCCCTGTCCGTCCGTCCGTATGAGTGCGTCGATCTCAGAAGTTATAAGAGCTAGAGAAATTTGGCATGCATACTCGTGTGTACCATACGCAGTACAAGTTTATCATATTTTTTCGATAACTCATCCGATAACTTTTTTATCGAGAATAATCGAAAAATTGATTTTGCTGTTTCAGTCTAATTTGAACACTTTTAGACCTAGGGTCTTCAGATTTACTGTGTATATACAGTTGATCGATACGAAGATTTTGCAATTTACAGATTTTGGATACCACGCCCTTTCCGCCCTCAATGTGTTCAAGTGAATGTACACACATTTTAACCATTTGATCACGCTCTGAAAGTTTTATCAAGATTGTCCGTCTACAGGAGAAATTACTCAACAAATAAATTCTCATAATATTGCCCACACTGCAGCGCCTGATTATACGTGCGTGTGGATGCGTGTGTATGAATGTGAGTATAAGAGAAATGAAGAATAATTGATTCTTTCTTATTAAATTCGAATACACTGCAGTCGAATAACATGTTTTTTAAATATTCGTTACAAATAAGCAGTATTTTATTTATAACAGCTTGTTTCGGTCTACAAAATATACTAAACTTCTCAAAAACTAAACTGATTTTATAAATTCCTTACTCTGGTCACACTGATAACCAGTTTTGTGTTATTCCTTTCGTCGTGCTCTGGTCAATTCAAAAACAGTTCTTCAACGAGTCGGACGTGTCGTGCGCGTGTTGCTTTAAATAGTAAAAGATAATTTGAATCGGAAAAGGTAATATTATTAAGTTTAAGCGGCATGGTGTGAATAAGTGATAAGTGTATCTCTGTCTCTCTCTTTCTCTCTCTATATATATATATATACATGCATATAAATGTATGTATGAATGAATTTGAAGTGTTCTTGTTTAATTTGCTTTGTGCTACGTGAGATGCTGCATTGACAGCTGCTCGAAAACGCATTCATGTGAAAGTGGTTGAAAACGGAAAGTGCGAAAGCACGCTGAAGAAAAAAGAGACATGAAATATAAAGCAAAGACGCACTTCGTCGTAAGAGAGGAGCTGAAGAAACAAGAAAATATTTACAAAAATCAAAGACAATATGTTGTTGTTGCTGCTCAGGAAGTGCACTGAACTTAGCCTTTTGTTTTTAGTATCTATAAACTCTTCAGACATTTGCTAGCCTTGTTGTTGGTGTCGTTGCTAAGACAACATAAAATTAAAGAAGTGCGCAATTTGCGATCTAAACAATTTACGGCGTAAACAAGTGCGTGAAGTTCAGTGCTTAATTTTGGAAGTTAATTGCTGCTAACCGTGAAGCATTTTAAGATGTATAAAAAATTTAAGCACCATAATGCGAGCTCATTTGCCATTTAAAAAACATAATTTTAAAGAAATATGTACGCTTGTTACTCATGTTTTTTATTCCGCCAAGGTCAAACCGGTTTTTAGCGGCTAAGTATAAAGCAGGAAGAGGCGTGACCAATAAAAAAAAAAAAAGTAAAACAGAAAACGACTGAAACAAATGCATTTAATTAAAAATTATAAAATTGTATATTTAACTGGAATGAAAAAATTCAAGCAGAAATGAACCTTAAAACTGATAAAACGCCGAGACATATACATTATAAACACACATAAATTCCAAATATAAAACATTTTCAAAATCTGTTGTTTAGTTAAGTCAATATTGTTTCTCTCTTTTCAAATTTAAAACATAAAAAAACACAGGCCAGAAAATAATTAAAAACACAAGTTTATCTTAGTAGATAGATCAACTTTCCACTAGATAAAATAAAATTAATTAACTGTACAAATCATGTTAATAGCATGCATATTGGACTTGCATAACGCCTAATAGCAACATCTATTTACATAATTTGAACTTGCTCGACGCCAAAAACGTTAAACTCAAAGCAAATCATATAAACATTTATTTACCTATTAGTCAATAAATTATTTATATTTATGTAATTGTTGCTCAACTGATTTACTAATTTATTGACTCTAATGTATTGCAGGAAACAAACAATTAAGCAAAATGGATTGTGGAACATCTATGGTTAAATATATACTCTTTATATTCAATACCATTGTGTCGGTAAGTAAATTTCTTATATATTTATATATGTATATAGAATTATGTAGACATATTGATTTCACAAATACTTCCAGCTTTGCAATATACATTTATTCTATTTGAAGCAGCGAAATTGTCTTGGAATGTAAGTCCCAAGCAGATTATGTGCTCTCAAAGCGTTTTTGTTTTGTTGAAATACCCTACAGATGTTAAAACTAAGAGCGTGTTTGAGATTAGGGCCTTATGTTGCAAGCGAAGCATTTTAATCTAAAACTGATTAAAGAAGGCTGGTTCATTCTTCTATAAAGCAATCACTCTTATAGTTAAGAATGATTGTAAGAGAAAGTTATTGACAGCTCATCCTTTGTATAGTAGATGTTTTAGTTCATATTAATGGCGATAAGGAATAATATTTTACTTAGTTACATATTTACGAAGTATCTGCTATTCGCAAGCTCTTAACTGTTTTTATTTAGCCAGCCTCGTTTTTGGCATGGCTGGTTTTGCGGCTATGACATCATCGTTTATATAATATACATATACCTACATACATATATATATATGTATGAGTATATGTATTCAGCCTCCCAAGGCAGACACACTCACGCATGCACGCATACTTGAATAAATATGTATGTGTCTGTATCTGTAGCAGTAGCAGTAGATGTAGCAATAGCTATATCTGGTATGCGGTATCTGGTATATGGGGTTTAGCTGATGCTGCAAACTGTAGACACTGCTGCTGAGCGGCGGCTTAATCAATTTCTGTGCTTATGAGCAGCATTTAATATATTTTGCTTATTTTCGTTCGCTACTATATGTATACACAGCTGTACTATATACAGCTGAGGTTTGTATAAATCCCAATTTGTATATTTATTTGCTGCTCAGGCTTTAATTGAATTTGCCACAATTCAGAAGCGACGAATGATGTCATTATATCGTGATGCGAAGTGAATCAGTTTTCAGAGAAATGCAACGTTTTCTGATAAGATGAACGACACAAGCACACTCGGTAATTGACAGTAATAACTGAGAAACAGACGTGTTAGTTTGATCAGCAGATGTATGACTCAACGTGACACCTTATATACAATGTGTCGTAGGTATTGCTACGCATTTGAAATATTAATTAGCGCAAATATTTATGCATACAAATAGTTGAAGAGAAACACACACCTTAAAACAAAATTGCTAACTGAATTATAGCATATGCWCCTTGAATAAATAAATATATAACAAAATATGAATATGGTAACCACCAGCTTAGGTAAACCATTTGAAGCGAGGATGAAATACACTAGATAAGTTTAATAATAGAATTATTGCTATATTTATTCTTGGAAAATTTTCAAGCTGTCAGAATACTTTTTAACATAAGCGTTCGCATATATACATATATACTTCTGTTAGCAAATTTTTATTAAAAGCTTGCAAAATGTGAATCAGCTAAATAAACCAGAAAAATACAACATGAAATTTTCGTCGACAAATTTAACAAGTTAATAAAGAATAAGAAATAAGAATATAACAAATAAAAGCAAAAATACAAACTTGTTGCATGAGCCAGCAACTGGTGGAAAGAAGAAGCACGCGTTATTTACATAGTTCACATTTACACGTGCAAACTCACCTCGGGTTGTTTACCTGTAGATATATAAAGGTACATACACACAGATACATATCTGAATCATTATATGTGTGTGTGTGTGTGTGTGTGTGTGTCTTTGTACATAACATACTTGACAGTTAAGGCAAGCAAATTAACAGGTACAACAAAAAGCCGCCTTTGAGCGTCGCTTGGCCAGACGAAAGAAAAAATACGAAATAAACACGAAGTTTGGACCAAGCCGAAGCTTAAATATACTTGTTATGCTATAGAATTGTGACTGTATGCCAAATCTTGTAGAGAAGTATGATAAAATATTTGTGAACGCTTTTCTCATGCGAAGCGAAATCAAATCGTTTCGATAAGCTCACAAAATACATTAGTTTCAGTAATCTGAGCTGGCTGTAAAATGCATCATAATAAACAAAGTAAAAATTTGTATATCTATTTGTTTCTTTATTATTATTGTATTTATGACGAATTGCTGGACTATATTAAAGCATGACAAAGTGCTTAACAAAGTCACAGGAGTCTTTGTGAGAGTACATATAACGATGAAAAAACGACGCAACGCTCGAGAAAGCAACAAAACATTGTGCAATTCGCTGGTTAAATACAAAAGGGAAACTACAGACCAGAGATACAGATACAGGTACAGGTACAGGTACAGGTACACGTATATGTAGGTGCACGTACACACATACATACAGACAGTCATTGAGTATAGGGTCGTGTGTGTTTTACCCAGATTCAGGTACACGAAGCATACTTTTTTATTTGTTTGTATTTTCTACACGTCTGACTTTTGAGTATCGAATGCGAGTTAGAATGCGAGCTGCAACCAGTTAACGACAACCCTGAATGAGTTTTATATATATATATTATATAGAGGTATAACTGTATATTTGTTTTTAAATGCAGATACTTGCATATATAAAGTTTTAAAGCTTTTTTATATTAAACCGAAAATCGTTTAATATAGTTTCATTCAAATTATGAATGCTTGCTTTATCTCTTACGTTTTAATACAAGTACAAGTACACATATACATACATTTGATAATGTTTTGTTTCTCTGTTTTCGACAAAATTGTTCTCACATTATTTGCAGCGTTTGCAATTCTACGAGTTTGAGTTTCGCTGCTGTATATCGTGTTTGGGAACTATAAATATACATGTAGAGTGTGTAATTATTTTAGAAATTGCGATATGCTTCTAATCAAAATATCACATGTTCTTTTTGTGTACTTCGATTTTTTATTTGTGTGGCCTCGTATCACGCATACGTCCTGTTGCACAAGCGGCGGCAGAATTTTATCTCGCTGTTCACTTGTGTCGGTTCTGATATGTGAATAGTTACAAATGGAGACAAGCTGACTTGCGGATAGATGAGACATTCAACACACATAAACAGGAAGAATTTGGCGTCGTTTGGTCGGCCCATTCGAGCAAGGGTGTGGCTCTTACGTTGAGAGCATCGAATTTCTCTCCTCTGGAGTATTTATTTATTGCAATTGATGAGTGCCAAAATAACTTTAAGTACATGTTTGTAGGGGTTGTTCCCAGGAAGTGCCGCCACGAAAAAATATAAATGAGCTCAGAGTTTTTGGGTCTTTTTGTTGTAAACTAAAGAAGACATAATAACAAGAGCTTGGCCTTTATGTGAGTGCCAAAGCATACATACAAAAGTTTTATAGTTGGATTTTATTATTCAGTATTACCCTGTCAGGCATTGTTTTTATTTTGCTGAGGGTTGTCAGTAAGAAACGTACGCTTCAATTTGCGTTTGAGTTTTTGAGGCATGACGTCATAAGATTCAAATGAGGAAATCATTGTGCAGCTGATGAGACTGTTATTTTTATATACATTTATGTATATATACAAATATAAATACAAATATATATATTTGCCAGTTGAGCTAATTGCTCATGATGTTTTAATTAGGCTAGACTTTTGTTTTTTATTTTCTATTGAGAAAGTGGAGCATTCAGTGCGGCTTCAATAGYAGAATGTTGCTTTTGTTGGCACTATTTGGGTCAATTATGCTACAAATTTGGACAAGACCTGCTCTGAGCATCCATTCAGTTCAGAAATTAACCAGAAAAACAATACGCCCACAGATCGGCAAGTATCACAAGTAAAAGTGCTTCAGTCGCACTTAAGGAAATTGGCTGCACGCTATAAAATTTCATTTCTTTATTTGTTTCTTTTTTATTTGTTATAAAAATTAAAATGCTCATATTTATGGTATGCTTGTGTGTGCATATATCAAAAACCAGATTTATGTTTTATTTATTTATTTTGCATATTGGGSAAGTTAGGAAAGCAAACAGATAAGTGGAATTCGTATGGCTTTTGTATAGTCTCAATAAAACATTTTTCGCTTATTCAGCTGCTATAAGTTATATATAAACAATATATCTTTAGTTGCCAAGCTACAGGGTATGCGAAACAGTCAGAGCTATCTATATATGTATTGAATATATATGTTAGCGTGCAACAGTTTGCATAATAAAATCTGGTAAATTCGATTAATTGGCAAACAATTGTTGCTGCACTTGATTTCTGCGTCGATTCAAGCTGTTCAACGCAATAACAATAGCAGAGAATTTACATACATTGTTTTGAATCTTGAACTTTAGTTACTTTTTACAGCTATCTCGAAAGTATATATATGTATATATTACGTACGTATTAAGTTTAAGATGAGGCTTATCTAATCAGCAGCATTTAGCCTTGTAGCACTGTGCGTAGGCTTAATGCGATTTTCTTAGCAAACAAAGCATTGCCGCTTGCCCAAATATTTACAGCTTATATACKGTGCAATTATACATACATACATATATGTGCTACTTTTGTATTTAATGAGATACTTTTTAATTCAACTAGTTGCTTGCATTACGTCAGTGTTGCGCCTGCTAATTTTAATAGCCATTAGCCACGTACTTCTGGCCCTAGTTATCCCTAAGGTCAGCCGAGGTGGGTGGCCGGCCCCAGTTGTAATTAAGAACTTTTATAATTTATCTTTGGCATGCTAATTGTTGCTCTCTCACTCGCACACTCAAACCATCTCACATCATCTGGCTCTCCTTCAATTAAACATAATTGACGCAGTATAATTCGACTGCAACTGCAACTGTCAACTGTAGCTTTGGCCTCACGCGATGGCTGGCTGTATAATGCAGGCTGATTGTTCCATTTACGGCACCTTATATATAAGGTTAAATATATATAGAATTTTATGAGCAGTTCTGTTAAACAATAACACAAACAAGAAATTAATATATTATATTCGTAAAATATTTTTCAGATTATTGGCATTTTGGGCATTGTGTTTGGCGTGATTATACTGCAGAGCGTTGGCACCATTGAGGTCAATGGCCAGACCGGCTTCCCACCTCAGGCAGCGATGCCCATCCTGATGATCACCCTTGGCTCTCTGGTAGTGTTCATCTCGTTCCTGGGCTGCTGCGGTGCCATTCGCGAATCTGTGTGCATGATGATGAGCTATGCCGTCTGTCTGTTGGTCCTTCTCATTCTTCAGCTTACAATTGTTGTACTGTTGTTCACTAACAAGGAGAAGTTCGATACTGCCATGGGTGAAGTGATTGACAAGGCCTGGGCTTCGCCGGAAGCCCGTGAGGGCGGTGTATTTGATGCCATTCAGAAATCGGTATATATCTAATTTAATTATTACCAGCCATATTCATTGTTTTAATATTTGGCTTTTGTTTATCCTTTTTAGCTTCATTGCTGCGGCAGCAACGGTGCTCAGGATTACGTTTCATTGAGCTTCTTTAACAGCGGACTTCCTTCTAGCTGCTGTGATGGAACTTGCACTAATCCATTGAACATTTATGGTGGCTGCCGTGCTAAGTTTGTTGATTTCATGTCTGGCAGCTCCGAGAAGGCCAAATACGTCGGTCTGGGTCTCATTGTTGTTGAGGTGAGTTATCTTTTTCGAATCAATTGAATATCGGTTGTAAATAAATGATTTCTTATTTTCATTACAGCTGGTTGGCTTCATCTTCGCTTGTTGCTTGGCAAATAATGTGCGCAACTACAAGCGCCGCAATGGTTACTAAATCAAGCATTTAAATACAACGCAACCATATATATACACACACTCACACATACATTCTCATTAACTCTATAATATGTATTGCCGTACAACGCACACAGAGTAAAAGAAAACAAAAATAATGTGAAATATTGGAAATATATTCGATGTAAACCATTTGGTTACAAAAATATTTAAGTTATTTGTTTAAACAAGAAAAATGAAACTATTTTGCAAAAAAATGAATTATAACTAAAAATCGAGTATAAACTAGTGTAAGCGCTTAAATATTGTCCAAATATTACTTTCATAACAAATTGCTCTTTTTAATTACCTAAAAAGTAAAAAAAAAAAACAAACAAAAAAATCCAAAGTCGTACAAAGCTACAAATAACAATAAACAAAACGCTGATGGACAGCAACAACAATTTATGTTACAATAAGCAACGAAGAGCGAATCTTGATGTTGATTTTTATAAATTTATACATACGAATACTATGTAGTGTTAAAGCCTTATGCTATATTTGTACCAGTGTACAAGTGTCCAAATGAATATATGGAATATATATGTATACATTAAAAGTTGTTCATCATTTTATCTGTAAATTGGAATCTCTTAAAGTTTTTACATTTGACCCACATTAATATGAAGTTTGAAGTAAAAGTGCAGTCAAAACTCGAATGACAACATCGTGAATGAATAAAGCATTTAAGACGTATTTATATACATATACAAAATAATAATAAAAAGTGAAACGAACCACATGTTATGCGTGTTTGCATTCCTAATTATATGGAAGCCTTGTGAGTTGTGTGCTGCGAGTACCTATAACAATAACTCGCCATGCAAAATAGTTCCCGCGCTGCAGTGCAGTAGCAGTGGCAGTGGCAGTGGGTTTTGTTGTGTMCCCAGGCGTTGACATGGCAGCCACAGGCTTGACCTTCGGTTTCTTTAACATTTTTGTTTAACCAGCAATTGACACACATATAAGTACAGATATTTGCCGGTGCGATTAGCGTATTGTGTATTCAATTCAGGTAGAGACTATTGGGGGTTGTCTCGTTTAAATATATTATGTATGTATATTTAGGCATATTTTTGATTTTCAATGAAACACTATGGGGGAATTTATTGTTAGAATATTAAAATCCATTTTGATGCCATATGTAGATGTTTTCACACAGCTGTAGATTCTAGGTAATACCAAAACTTTTGTAAGCCCAAGTTCACATACCAATTATTTTTATATTGATGCGAAATATCGATTACTTTCAGGGCTTAAATTTATTTAAAGCAAATTGATTTTTTGTTGACTAATTTAAACCTGATTAGAATATCTAGTCTATGGTCATGTAACATTTATGTTTACATGATATAAGAGTATGTGATATATGAATACAGAATTATTTTAATATACCACAGACTGACTGAACGTATCTCTAGAACAACATCTCGACATGTCACTAATGATTGAGCAGTCATAATTGAGATAATATATCATTTATTGAAATGATTCTCATAATCAATCAAATCATATATGCTATATAAGCTATATGAATACTATATGAATGATTTGTAATATCACTAAAGAATCTTTCGATTATCTGCTATCGTTCTTTTTACATCGTCCGTTTTTATATAAACAACAATAGATTGTTCTCTTGGATTATATGGTTTTGATTTCATTGATATCTGAAGAACGTCTTTCAGCGATACGGTTTCAATGTTAATTGATGTTTTCATATAACTATGTTGTGGTTCCTGCACAGCAGAAATTATATTTTTCTTCTTTATTGGTCTACGGTTTATAGCCACAATAAGTAGGAGTTTCTGACTGCGAATGAGCTGCAGAAATTGAATTTTAGTCAGATGGATTAAGCCATATAGGAAGATATATTAAGCTAATAATATAATTCATTAGCCTAATACTCGGTAATTAACATAATATGTATTCCTATATGACAATTGCTCGGATAGCTTCAGTTGTTTATTTTTTCTCATACTGCATTTGTTTTTTGGACGTTAACGGCTAAAAATGTGCATGAGCTGGAAAAATATAGGCGCGGCAGCTCTAACATGTTCCTTATTCTACAATTCGATAATGTTAATTGTTGCTATAACATTTATGCGGCGCTGCTTCGATGACTGCAACGATAACACGAAAGGTAACACCTTTAAAATGATGATTAATTACATTTTATAATATCATTCTTATTAAGGTCCATATCATGAGGACTGTTACAGCGCGTATGCCTTATATACGCTATATCTGCCATCAGTAGTTGCTAGTCCACTAATAATGCTAACCGATAAGAGCGTAAGTCAAGATTTATATATGTACATACATATATATTATGTATACAATTAGTCATGATTTCCTCCTTAGAGCATTAACTATCTGCAATGGTGGCTTCTGGTGCATGCAGCACTTACATGTTGCGCCTACTTTATTTATATATGCTATAGTCCGTTTTATTCAGATAGTGATAGCGATGTAAATATCGTTGGATTTGGTAAGTATTCCCTTATTCGAAATTGCTATATCTATAAATATTGAATTGCAAATTTATTTTATCTTTGCAGCTTGTCTGGTGTTTGCGTTTGGTACTGTTGCCTTTCATTGTTTTCGTGTGCTGCGTTCTCCTGCGCGTCAGGCTCAATCAGATCCTGCGGAAACAGCCGCTTAGGGCCAGTTTTCTCTCTTTACATCCTTATTTTATTATAATTTTAATTCAAATATAAACAATTCAAAACGTTCGTATTCTTGGCTTGCTTGGCTTTTTAAACTTATAAATAAATAAAT